CACCCAGGCCCAGAGTTCAGGCCCCATGACCGGACCCCAAAAAAAAAAAAAAAAAAAAGTAAACTTGCAGAATTCCTGGGATAAACTTTTTAATTCATTTCCCTTTCTCCATTTGATGAACTGTTTAGCTATAGAGGGAAGGGAAAAACAAATAGTTTAAACTGGGATACAGGTGGACCCATTGCAACAATGAGAAGTACAAGTCGTTATGTCGAAAACGAACTTTACAACTTTGGTGGGGGGGAGGAGGAGAGTTGCGGGGAGGGGGGGGGGATGGGATGGGAAGAGGAAACAAAGGAGGAAGCTGCAATGCTTGATAAGAAATGTACTCATTATCTTGCCCATGTAATTGTAACCCCTCTGTACAGTATTTTCACAATAATTAAAAAAATTAAATTAAATTTAAAAAACCAAAAAGAATTGTACCTAGAAAGAAAATTCCACTCAGAAATTTAAAGACAGTACTGCAGCGATTTGGGTATTCATTAATGCTTGTCAGAATCACAACCCTTGAAGTGACTTTTTAACTTTGGGAAGTGTTTAAAATCATTTCTTCATTACTGATGTTCTGAAATCTCACACTACTTTTTAAATCTTTTTGTTCAGTCCTTTGTTCAAACTTCTAATTCTGAAAAAATTTGACTCCCATTAGTTTTGGAAAATTTTTCTTCCATTATTTCTTTGTTGCCTTCAATCTTTGTGTAGTGTATTATTAGCTCTCTATTGAAAGGATTAGTCATACCATAGGCTTCTTGGATTCAACTCAATTAGTGCTTTCTTTTCTCTGTATTTTCCTTCTTCTTTTTAAACTGTTTTCTAGTTTTCTCATTTTTTTCCAGACTTAGTTTTTAGTGTTGACATTTATAATTTTAATCTAAGCTCTTTCTTGTTTTCCATTATCCCTTTATAATAATATCACATATGATGTTATAGTAACGTCACATTTTTGTGGAAAATCTGCATAAATGGTTCTAAATATATTGATGCTATTTTGAAGGAATTTTCTATGTCCTGAATAATATCAATTTTATTCCACATCAGTTTTTGTTTACTATAATATTTCTCTTTGTTTCTGGTTCCTTTTATACTCTTGATGCTTATTGACTATCAATTCTTACTAAAGAAATAGTACTAAGTTGCTTGTACAGATTTGTTGGTGAGATAGTTTTCCAAGAAGGCTATTGCAGTGATCAGATTTCTGTAGGTCATGAGTTCATAGAAGATCAGATGCCAGGAAGTGACTTTCAGAATATGACAGATTGGAGGTGGAATGATAAATCTCACAAAAACTTTCACTATTCTTAGAGGGAGAGGGTTTATTTAACAAAAAGGTGTCTCCTTTTCCTGAAGCCTGGGAATTCTAGATGTCTGGATACTAGAAAAGTACAAAGGTTCTGATTTGTACTAGAGGTTTCTATGTTAGCCTTCTTTTTTTGCCGGTCCTGGGGGTTGAATTCAGGGCCTGAGCACTGTCCCTGAATTCTTTGGCTGAAGGCTTTGTGCTCTACCATTTTGTGCCACATTACCACTTCCAATTTTCTGGTGGTTAATTGGAAGTAAGAGTCTCATGGACTTCCTTACCTGGGTGGGCTTTGAACTGTGATCCTCAAATCTCAGCCTCCTGAATAGCTAGGATTACAGGCATGAACCACCAGCACCAAGCTCTATGTTAACTTTTAATCCATCTCCCTGCTTTTCCTTTCCTGTGTTCTGTATTTTTTGTGATTTCTAATGGGCCAATCTCGCCCTACGCTTTCTATCACCCTGTTCCTTATGCACTCCAACCAGAAATGTTGAGCAAATGGGAACAAATACCATGCTTTCTATCTTTAGCAAGTGCAGTAAGGTTTATGCATTGCTTTCACTTGTAGTATTTTATTTTTATGAATCTCCACAAGAGACATGGGGCTTAAAGTTCACTACAAAATATGAACTTGCAGTTTGTGTTTGCTTTTAGATTTTAAACTTTTTGGTGGAAATAAAGTTACTTCCTCAACCATAGCCTTATCATTGCTCATCTGAACTATCACCATCTACTTTGTAACTGATGAATCTGAGGTCCTGTGAAGTTACAGGAGATCAGAGAGACTGGGAGAATGGTTATATGTTTTTGCTGAAAAATATCAAAGAGAATTCTAAGACTTTGGGAAAAATACTTACTCTGCAATTACTCTCATTCCTTCCACATTTGATAAGTGTGTAGAATGGACTAGACCCTAGGCTACATTTTGGGGAGGTGGGAATAAAAAGATGGATAAGGTTTTAGCCATACCCTGAGGATAACATAGTCTGGTGAATAACTTGAATTTATGTAGCATTTTACAGTTTATAAATCAGTTTTACCTATGGTGGATTCTTGATTTATGGGTAACAGTTTTAACTCCTCTTAAGGGACCCAATGATCCATGGTATGTAATAATGTTTTCATTTTCATAGGTACAAATTTGAATCCCATGCATGGTGTGGTTGTGTGGATGGTTTTGTTGCCTGAGTGGTAACTGACACTTGTGGCTCTCTAGGTAGCCGAGCACATATTGTGCTTGGATTTGTAACCAACTGACCAAGCCATTTGAATTTAATGGGATATAAACATGAAGCAGGTTTATTTTTCTTTTTACTATTGCCTTTAATATACTCTTTCAAATCTTTTCCTTCTTGAGCTTTGATATCTTAGGCAGACTATACAATTTTCCAGATATGCTTCATTGTTAAAAATTTTAGTATAATCCCAGCGTGAGACCATAGTTCATGCCTGTAATCTCACTTAATCAAGAGGTAGAGATCTAGAAGATCACAACTCAAAGCCAAGCTGAATTGCAATATTATTAAGACTTCCATCTCCCATTTGTTAGGAAATGGAAAGACTTGGAAAAAATTATATTAAGCGAAGTAAGCCAGGCCCAAAGAAACATAGGCCCCATGGTTTCCCTTATTTGCAATATCTAGTATATGTATGAGTCAAGCGGAAAAGGTCAGATAATGTGATCTTAGGAAAATGAACCCTTAGATATGTATTTTAATGTTTTTTTCTTTCATGCATGTGTTTCTAATGCATTTATAAGATTATTTCTTTGTTGCTTTGTATGTCCCTCCCCCACAGTATAACCCTTGCTTTCACTATATTTGATGTCAGTATAACTTGTGGGAAAAACAAGTCGTTTAAGGATACAGGTGGACCTGTTGCAAAAATGAGAAGTACAAGTTGTCATGTCCATAACGAGCTTTACAATGTCAGTGCGGGGGTGGGGGTGGGGGGGTGGGGGGGCTGGGGAGGGTGGGGGGTGGTGGAAAGATTGGGACTGGGGGGGGGAGGGGGGGACTGGGGGGGAGGGGGGAGGCTGGGAAGGGATGTGAAGGGTAAACAAAGGAGGAGGCTGCAATGCTTGGTAAGAAATGTACGCATTATCCTGCCCATGTAATTGTAACCCCTCTGTACAGTATGTTCACAAATATAATAAAATAAATTAAAAAAAAAAAAGACTTCCATCTCAACCTATAAGACGGGTATGGTGTTGAATGCTTGTCACTCCAGCTATGCAGGAGGATCTTAGTCCAAAGAAGCTCATGAGAAAAATGTGATTTTTCTCCAAAAGTAAGTATAGCAAAACAAAGAGCTCAGGACATGGGACAAATGGTAAAGCCCCTGTAAAAAATAAGCACAGGGCCCCCAAGTTCAGACCTCATGGTTTCAAAAAAATTAATGTAACAATTAGTGAAAAAAAAATTCATGCTCTTTTCTGCTAGCCTCTCAGTTCAGGTTCAACTCTGTAAAAGAACTTGGAGCAGGGGAAAAGAGTCTGGTTGGCAGTTCCAATTCTTTTCCCTCCCTTTGTGATGCTCTCTTTATCAAGGTGTGAGGGATAGAAGGCAAAGGAAGGATCTCTTTCCTTTTCTTTGATGGTCACTATCCCAGTTCCATATGGTTGTTGGTTACTGTGGCTAAGACCTAACTGACTGGCCATCAGTTCCCTTGGGAGTAAGCACCCACAAGCTGACTCTCTTGTGGAGAAGAGAAGGAGCTTTTTCTCTGAGTCCTCACTAAATAAATTGTTTGATATGCAATAATACCTTTGGTTTTCCCTGCTCCAAATTCCTCTAGCTCCATTCCTGGTAGTCTTCTGGAGTCACTTCTGTAGTCTTTCATTGTCACTCAGAGTCCAGGAGGCTCAAACCCATTTACTTGACTCCTTATCGTACTATGATTTAAGTCCCTTTCATTGCTTGGGGATTTGATATGAATGTACTGGGAACATTCTTCCTCAGTGGTTAGGTCTGTAATTCTTAAGATGTAGTTTAGAGACCACTTGGATCTCCTGGAGCACAGGGTGAAACCATGCTAGTTCCTAGGCTCTTAGGGATTGAGAGTCAGTAATTTATGTATGATATATTGAATAAATATTTGTGGACTGGACCTTATCTTATGTCCTTCCAATACCACTGTGAAATAGGTAGGGTTAGTATTACAAAGAAACTGAGATTCAAAAGGACATTAACTTGTCAAATGGCAGAATAATAATCCATTGAAAGCTAGTGACTCCACAGAAGGGAAATATTACTCAATTTAGTTACCTTTTTCAGATTGCTAAAACAATACATATTTATTTTAGAAGATCCATCATAAAATTTAGAAATAATTATTTCTTTGTGCACATAATTTGTTACACCTGTTTTCAAACAATTAAAATAGTTATATTTTAATAATCTTTAGTAATCTACTTCCTAAAATTAATGTATTATGAATTTCTCCATATATTAAACATGTTCTTTTGCATGATTATTAGTAGCAACATAATCCTTCTATTTGTGAATATACAGTTTTGTGTTTAGTCAATTTCTTACAGATAATTTAATTATTTCAACCTTGTATAATTACAAAAATTACTGTCTAGAGAAAAGAGAGCTAATTTTTAAAGGTCAAAGGTTAAAAGGGTTTGAAGTTTGACATGCTGCAGCACATTTTTGTGGTCACTAAAAATTATTTTTTGTTATTTTTTTAAAAGGAAGAAGCCCATTTTGTTCTATTTTAATCTGTTCAGATGTGCCAGTCCTGCCATCATGGTAAACCTACAGTGCCCTACCACACAGGTAAGGAGAAGTTGCCTTGCTGTCAGTGTGATAATCCCCTAATGTTCTTGGATGGAAGAATTCAGAAATTTTATTGAAGTCTTGTGTATGGATCACCTAAGTATCACTCATGCTTATTCCTATGTAATTAAGTAGAAATCAATCATTTTGGAGTTCCTAAGGAGTATTGATGGTTATCTTATCCAGTCATCTACTTTATAAATAAATAACTGCAGCCCTAAGAAGTAGATGTTCTTTTCTCAAGATCTATAACTATTGTATCTAACAAATTTTATTTTTCAGTGACTGAATAATGTTTGTGCTTTTGAGCATGTAACAGTACAAGGTGGATGTTCATGGTCAGTGAATTTTTCTCCATGTTTCTTCCAACTAAAGACTCTACTATTCCTTCAGGGCTCTTTATCATCTGCATCCAGCTACCAGAAAGAGACAGGGACGGTAAACAAAAATTCTCCTGGCTTTAAAAGCCTTAGATTGGAAGTTGCACATTACAATTCTAATCATATGCCACAAAGATGTATTATTTTTGTATGATTTTTTTACCTAGACAGGAGGAAGGACTTAAGAATTGTAGTTTTGAGCTAATCAGCCTCTTCACTATCATAGAACAAAAGGCACAAATCTCAGTGGATGGTCAGTGTCTTCATGGTCTTCCCTGTGCCTCCAGAATACTCTTCTTCCAAAAGGAGAACATAGTCTCATATAGTAGTATTGTTAACTCAAAGTCCAAGACTATGAATGATATACAGCTCTCTCTCCAAAGGATCTTGATACTAACTGCACAGTGAGGAATGGCTAAGAAACCTAGAAGATAAACTCAATTAAGAAAGAGAGAAATACAGAACAGTCTGTGATGAACAATGATGGAGAACAATCTTTTATTTAACCTGGACTGTGTTCTCTGGGAGGAGCTTCCTTATCCATTCATTCTGTGTACTGACCTTGGAAGCTATTTCTGGCCATTAGCCACTAAGCCACACTATTTTTGTGCACTGAAAATTAGACTCTGTGGCAGGGATGTAGGTTTAATATATATATATATATATATATAAAATCTTTAAATGATAGTACAGTATTTGCCATTCAACAAAGCAGTTGATGAATGTTGAAAACAAACTTCACAACTTTGTGGGGAGGTGTAGTTGTGGAAGTGGGAGGGAAGGGATGGTAGGGGAAAAACAAAGGAGGAGACAACAATGCTTAATAGGAAATGTACTCATTACCTTGCTCGTGTAACTGTAATTCCTCTGTACAGTGTTTTTACAATAAAAAATGTACAAAAAAAACAAAACAGTTGATGAATACAGTGCATGTCAATCAATATCATCCCTTTCAACATCACCCTTCCCTCCCCACCCACTCCTTCCTTCACTTTTCTTAATTCTTTAGGTTATGTATTGGATTGTTTTTGCCATTTAACAAAGCAGCCTATGCATACAATGCATCTTGATCTGTGTCATCCCTTCAACATTTTCACCCACTTTGAGCCAACATTTCCTTTCCTTTGTAAAATATTTTGTAGTATGTACAATGAATTCTTTAAAAAAATATTTTATGGTAAGATGCTATACAGAGGGGTTACAGTTACATGAGCAAGAAACGTACTCATTACAATGAATTCTTGACTTCATTCTCCCCACTTCATTCGTTCATTATCTACCCCTCTCCCCTTGGCCCCATTCCACCTCTTGCAAGTACCCATTTCCTAGTATTTATTTTGTTGAGCTTTGACTTAGTCTTTCTAAAGAATTTTACTATTTGAGCTCTCCCATAGAGTCTATTATATTTCAGTTGATTCATTTGTAACCCCTTGCATACCACTCAGTGTGCTCACTTCTAGATTTGTAAGTATATTCTAACTACCACAAATGAGGGAAACTGTGCAACTTTTGTTTATCTGTGTCTGGCTTATTTCACTTAATGTAATTTTTTTCCCAAGTCTTTCCATTCCCTTAAGATCAGTACAATATCAAAACAACAATGAGATTTCACCTCATCCCAGTTAGAATGGCCAATATCAAGAAAATTGAGAATAACAAATACTGGCGAACAAAAGGAAACTCTATTACACTGCTGGTGAGAATGTAAGCTTGTTCAACCACTCTGGAAAGCAGTAGGGTGAGTCCTCAAAAAATGAAACAGGGAGCTGCCCATCAATCCTACTCATGGGCATTTACCCAATGGAACACAAACAAGATTACAATAAAACCATCAGCACAACCATGTTGAATTGTAACACTATTTATCATTGCTAAGATATGGAATCAGTCCAGATGCCTCTCAGTGAACGAATAGATCAAGAAAATGTGGCATATACACACAGTAGAATTCTACTCATCCATCAGCCATGCAGTTTAGTGCCTCAGAGATGAACAGAGAAAGGCCTTTCTAGGCTAGCTCATTATTTCTTTGATATTATGGCAACCTAACTAACTTAGCAGAACTCCTGACTCACTTCTTGTTCCCATGTATTCAAAGATCTTTTCTAGAATTAGTTCAAAGAAGAACTAGAACTTAGTTCTTGTGACCACTTCTTCCTACTCTTCCAAGGTCAAATTCTTCACCTTGTTTGTACCAATAACTATCGCCTTTTATAATTTCAATTTCGAGTGGTCCTCTGTCTATCCTCTCTGATTCTAACATTCCAGACCTAGTGATTCTAACATTCCAGCTCCAGTGATTCTTCTATCTCATGTGAACCTTCATACCCACTTACTTCTTCATGATACCATTCAGCTTCCTCACATTTACCCTTATGAAACCACAATCCTACTTAATCCCTCATTTCCTTTACACTCTCTGTACTTTCCTGACCAAATGTTATCCCTAGCTAAATGTTGCTGTCCATACTCCATACCTGAATCTAAGGAGCTATGTATTCCTATAAAAATACAGTAGTCCTCTAAATTTAAGACATAATGTCAAATGGCTCCTTTAACCATACTAAAGACCCTATGTCTAATCACTAGCATCTTCCTTAGGGAACTCTTCATAATCTCACCCACTATCTGACTCCATTGTATGATACTCCCTTTGAACTCTGCACTTGAGTCCTATAGACCATTTGTTGTTCTTCCAAGGATGCAGGCCAGCTTTGGCCACCAAGGTTTTGCCTTTCCTATTCAATTTACCTAGAGTACTCTTCCTTTACATGACTGCCTGGCTGGGTCACTAATGTTCAAGTTTTTCTACAAAGGTCACCTGCTTAGTGAGGCTTACTGGAATCTCACTCAGTCATTCCTCAACTCTATCTTTCTTTTTGCCTTATTTATTTCTATAGCTTTTGTTACTGATTTATAATAAAAATATTGCTTATATTTCTTCATTATCTGTCTCTCTATTTAGAAGGCACATTGCCTGAGGGCTAAGATCTCTGTTTTGTTCATTACTGTGTTCTTAGTGCCTGGAGCAGGCTCAGGTAGGTGGTGGTCAGTAAATATTTATCAAATGAATGAATGAATGTTTTCCTATACTCCATTAAGGAATTTTTCCATTGGACTATCTACTGTTCCATTTAACTTACAGAGTATATGCTTATATGTTACATTTTAAGAATGATTTATCAGATCCTCTTTTTTCATAGTAAATATAATATTTTAATCTTCAATGCAACTCACACTCCCAGCCATCAAATCTTATTAAGGAGCTAAGCCAATCTGAATTGAAAATATAAAAATATTGGCAGAAAAAAATATTGATAGATACATTATTTTCAGCATACCCTTTGTGGTACACAGAGACAGAATTGAGTCAGCATATATTTTAGCTGCTAATAATGCAGCACCAGACAATGGTGTACCTCCTGATCTGAGTTATCTTTGTATGTTATATGTTTTAGTTAACTGCCATCATTGTCCAGGCATGTGTCACAAGCATTTAAATGACAGACTGTGATCAACTAGCAAATACAACCCCAATGTAACCTTCAGTTTGGGATAATTACATGTTGATTGCTACTAATGAGCAACCTATTTAGAGTAAACAAATTGGTCTAATAGATGGAAAGACTAAAGAAAAGTTGCTATATTGTTTTCTTTGTATTGTAACATTTATGTCTGGAAGAAAACTTGCTGTGATTCTCTCTCTCTCTCTCTCTCTCTCTTTCTCTTTCTCTCTCTTCTCTCCCTCCCTCTCTCCTTATCTCTTCCACCTATGCCAGCTTTGGGGGTTTGAACTCAGGGCCTGGGCATTCTCTCTGAGCTTTTTTGCTCAAGGCCAATTTTCTACCACTTGAGCCACAGCTCACTTTGGGCTTTTTGGTGGTAATTGGCTTTACTACCTTGGATGGCTGAGATCCTCAGATATTAGCCTCCTAGGTAGCTAGGATTACAGGTGTGAGCCACAGTGTCTGGCATATGCAACTCTCCTTAACAAGCCACATTAAAAAATTACTTTCCTTTATATGTTACATTCACAGCACTTTTATATATGTGGTATAATTGTGTACGCATTTGTAAGTGTGGAAATTGTCCCAATACCTCAAAACAGTTGGGTACTATCATACAAAGCATATAAAAGCATTATTATTTTTCTATTTACTCTTATAAATCCACTGGAACATGTCCAAATGGGAAACTAGTTTTTTTCAGCATCATATGAGTAAACAAATGAAGGTTAACTGTCTGTGTATTATCTCCTAATATGTAAATGATTTATACAATTTAGCTCCAATCATATCCAACTTTTGCCATTTGCATTGATAATTGTAACCTTCTTCTGAAACAAAAGAAGGCATATTGCACATGTGAATATTCCCATATAGTTCTTTGGCTTTTTAAGTTGATTCTACAATATTCTCTACAATATTCTCTCTTAGGCACATATACACACATACACATACATAGGTGGATATAAATCTGAGATTACTTCGACAGATTAACATTCTAAGATTAAGAGATTGTAGCAATATACATTTCCTTATTGCAATATTTTGTTATAGTTGTGCAAATTATTGCCATTGAGTAATCTATTATTTCTCACAGCTACATGTAAATTTACAATTGTCATAAAATCAAAAATTAAATATAGCCGGGCACCAGTGGCTCATACCTGTAATCCTAGCTACTCAAGAAGCTGAATTGATACATTCATAGATCCTACACAAATTCAAGAGGCTGAATGCTTGCTCCAAGCCAGCCCAAATCTGAGAGACTCTTAACTCTAATTCACCATCTTGGAGTGGAGATGTGACCAAGAGCCAAGCAAGAGGATGTGGCCCTGAATTCCATCCCCAGTACCAGCACAGATAAAAGAAGAAGTTAATAATGTCAATTACTGTACAACACCTTGTTGTTTTAACACAACGACAACATCATAGCACACTGAGTAGAGATTGGAAATTATATGGAATTTAATTCATGAAAGTCTAGAAAATGTCCTTGTGCTCTGTAGATGGGAGATAGTGCTTTGCTCCTTACTTTGGTGGATAACTCAAAAGTCTTGTCTTATATACATATCTCATTTGTGCTCAACTCAGTTCCCACACATCTTTATGTTCCTTTAATCCCCAGGTCTGTGTTTCTAAGTGCCCAGAAAAATTTTTAACTTATCTGGAAATGCAACTTTTGTCCAAAACAGACAAAAGTTATTGGGAATACTACCGTCAATTCTGTAAGCCCACTGCTCAGCCTGCCAAGGTATGTGTATTTAAGCTTAAAACTGGAAACAAATTTAACTTTTTTTAAGTTGCAAGTGTAATATGACTCATTTATTACTGGACAAGTTCCTGCATCTAGGAAATGGTTATTAAAGGCATTGTTCCATTAAAACAAAATGTACGTGTGAACTCATAAAACACATACCATTCATAGTATATCATTATATAAACTGGGTATATTATGAAAAACTGCTAAGTCTGATAAGTTAGCTTTTCAACTATTCACTGACATGAACAAGTTCTGTACATGTTTTGTTTTGTTCTGTTTTCAGCTAAGAGCTAGGATTTAATGTCCTCTACCAACACTATTTCACTAATGTGGAAACAGTAACAAGAAGTTTACATCAAAGCCCATTCTGATAATGATCTCTTAAAAAGAAAAAAAAGATGGAGATTTATAAGGGATTTCTAAAGCTTTATTATATTAATGGTTGGTAGGTCAGAGAAGATGCTGTTTTTCCAGAAAAACAGTGAAAGATCAGAGACTTAAGGATGTCTCTAAGACACTTGGCTTCAGGCAGTCAGATTTTATTTATTGATTTTATTAAAGTATACAAAAGAGTTTTCCAAGCAAGAAATGGTTTGTAGTAATCTTATAATTACTAGTATTGAGGGAATTATTCAGAATAATGAGATTGAAAGAGTTCAATTTTTAAAGAATGAAATTTTTATATGAGCATGAAGTAGTTATCATACAGTCATTGGTGTGTTAACATGTGCTTCCTTCTGTTTCAGTCTCTCACAGAAGTCTTATTGAATGGTGACTGTCCAACAGCAGTGTTTCCAAGCAGACCTTGTAAGTGATGATGAATTTTACCAGGAATTGCTAGGCACTGGTTACTCATGCCTGTAATCCTAGCTACTCTGGAGGCTGAGATCTAAAGATCAAGGTTTGGGGCCAGTTCAGCTAGACAAATCTTGGGAGACTCTTAACTCCAGTTAACTAACCAACAACTGGAAGTGGAAGCATGGCTCAAATGGTAGAGCACCTGCACTGAGAAAAAGCCAAAGTAAAAGATAAGGCACTGAGTTCAAACCCTGGCTTAAGCACTAGGAGAGAAAGAAAGAAGAAAGAAAGGAAGAAAGGAAGGAAGGAAGGAGGAAGGAAGGAAGGAAAGAAGGAAGGAAGGAAGGAAGGAAGGAAGGAAGGAAGGAAGGAAGGTAGGAAGGAAGGAAGGAAGAGACAGGAAGGAAGGAAGGAGAAGGAAGGAAGGAAGGAGAGAGAAGGGAGGGAGGGAGGGAAAAGGAAAACAGAATCTACAAAGTTACCAAGTTGAATTAAGTCTCCTTATGTTATAATAGATAGGCTGGGGCCAGGAATGGTCCGATAACTGGCCCTGGGTCATAAAATAAGGAGGAAATGAATGTAAATCCCATTCCCTCTCTCCAGTCAGAATCATTTCCACCTAAGCTCAGTGAGATTTGGGCTTTCACTTCATAAACATACAAGAAAAATCCTGAATTTTTAAAAAAAACTTATCACGTCAATTATCTGGAAGTTTATGAAGCTATAAAAGGGCAAACTCACTCATATGTGTGTACACACACACACACACACACACACACATACGTACACACATTTATATAAATTTTTTCTGTATTAAGCCTAGAGTTTGCTTAGAAATAACCTGAGGAGTGAGTGTGCAGGGAATATACTACTCTTTACAATTTGCATTTAAATCTTTATGTCTTGTTAATGAACCTTATTTTATTTCTTAAAAATTTTAAACTTTAATCAGTTTAATTCTCAGTTTAGAAAATAATGAAGTGAGGATTCATTTTCCTTTCTTAAGAACATAAGTCTAACTGCAGAGAGAAACTTTTCATAAAGATATCCATCAAAATATCCACGAAACGGGTTGGAGGCATGTCTCAGTTCATAGAGCCACTAGCTTGAAAGCATTAGTTGGAAGGCATCAGGTACCAAGTTTGAGTCCTTGTCTAGGACTTAAAAATATTCATTCAAAGTAATAGTAGCAACAATAAAAATAATATAAAACAAACACTAAAACAAAGAGAAAGGTAAGACAAAAACTGCTATACTGAAAATGATAAAACCTTGAAGTAATGCAATGCACTCATTACATAAACTATTTTAGAATTATTAAATGTAAATACTGCAATAACATGCATCAATAAGCTCAAATATTAAATAAATGCAGATTGATATATCATGATAAGCATGTAGAAGTTAAAATGAACAAAAATAAATTATTTGAAGAGAAAGAAATACACTATAGTATTAAGAGAAGGCTTAGAGTGTGTGGTAAAATTGTGGGCATTTCCAGTCTTCTTTATTCTTTTTTTCTGTTACTCTGTGTTTCTACAATGAGTATTTCTTTTTAATTTTTTGTCTAGATTTTTTTAAATTTTTATTTTTTTATTGTGAAAATACTGTACAGAGGGGTTACAATTACATGAGCAAGATAATGAGTACATTTCTTATCAAGCATTGTAGCCTCCTCCTTTGTTTCCCCTTCCCATCCCTTCCCATCCTCTCCCACCCCCCCACCCAATCCTCCCCGCTACCACCCCCGCACCAAAGTTGTAAAGTTCATTTTTCGACATAATGACTTGTACATCTGTATCCCTACTTGAACGATTTGTTTTTCCCTTTCCCCTCCACAAATTATACTGCCATCAAATACAGTGAAAGCAGGGGTTATGCTGTGGGGGAGGGACATACAAAGCAACAAAGAAATCATCTTATAAATGTGTTAGAAACAATCGCATGAAAGAAAAGAAAACATTTGAATACATATCTTAGGGTTCATTTCCCTAACATCAACTTATCTGACCTTTCCTGCTTGACTCAGACATATACTAGATATTGAAAATAAGGGAAACCATGGGACCTATGTTTCTTTGGGCCTGGCTTACTTCATTTAATATAATTTTTTCCAAGCCTTTCCATTTCCTAACAAATGGGGCAATGTCATTCTTGGAGTGAGGTGGTATCTCAATGTCTTTTTAAATTTTTATTGTTATTTATTATTCCTGCACTCTCTCCTAGTTTTTCCCTCATGTACCCATCCTCAAGTTATATAGTTCATTTTAACAGTGTCTAGTGAATATTACTGCTGCATTTGTTTACCCTTTGTCCCACCATTTCTGTGCCCCCCTGAAAAAAATAGAAAAAAGTGAACAAACAAGACAAAAAGAGAAAAAACAGAAATGAAATCAGCAATGAAGAAAAAATCCCTGTTTCCATTTCGTGGAATTCATTTCAATAAATACTATTTTCTATGATCAGATGCACATCGGCATTGGACTTTTGTGTTCCTCTCCTAAGAATATCCTCCTTTGGTTTCATTATGTGAATGCGTAGAGTCCTGTTTAATTTATCATATTCCAGTGTATATTAGATTTAGCTTTTGTATCAGAAAGTAAATAGGCATTGTTTGTCTCTCTGAGTTTGGCTTACCTCACTTAACATGATTTGTTCTAGGTCCGCCCATTTCCTGTAAATGACATAATATCATACTTTCTAATGACTTTGAAATCCATTGTGTATAGTTACCACATCTTTTGGATCCACTCATCTGTTGTAGGGCATCTGGGATGTTTCCCTAACTTGGCTATTGTGAATAGTGTGTAAATGAACACGGGTGTTCTAGTATCTTTATGGTATTCTGGCTTGTGATGGAGTTCTAGGTAGATGCCCCAGAGTGGTATGGCTGAGTTATAGGGAAAATCTATGTTTAATTTTTTGAGGAACATCCAGACTGCTATCCAGACATTCCCACCAACAGTAGAGTGCATAGGTTTACTTTTCCCACAGATCCCTGACAATATTTGTTGTTGTTCAAGTATCTATTTCTTTTAAGAAGAAAGTCACATGCTTTAGAGTAGCTACTGCCATGTATATTTCTTGAATGTCCCCTTTACTCTTGTCTGGGTCATTAAAAACCTCTAAGCAAAGCTTGTTCTAAAAATATTATTCATCAGAAAGCCTTAGGCAATGGCTATTGGTAGCCAAGAATAATATTAGAAGTTTGATATAGAAAGATAAAAAGAAATCATCAGTCCTGGTAGGTGCCGTAGGTATAAAACTGTAAGACATAGTCTTAACCTTACAAGTATAATTTGGCTAAGTCACTCAATTGAAAATGTACAATGAGGGGCTGGGAAAGTGGCTCAGTGGTAGAGCGCTTGCCTTGCATGCCTGAGGCCCTGGGTTCGATTCCTCAGCAACACATAAGCAAAAGAAAAAAGGCCTAAGTGGAGCTATGGCTCAAGCGGTAGAGTGCTAGCCTTGAGCTGAAGAGCTGAGGGACAGCACCCAGGCCCAGAGTTCAGGCCCCAAGACCGGACCCAAAAAAAAAAAAAAAGAAAATGTACAATGAGGATTCACAAATGAATAAGGTATAGTGTCTAGTAGTAAGTGAGGGCAAATTGATCCCTCTATTGTGTATATTTTAAAATTCAACAGGTTTAAAATATTGCTTCATATTGTGATCTTATTTGCTGTCCATTCTATTCTGAGAAGCATCAGAAAACCTTTCAATAATCATATAAAGGGCAAAAAGCTACCTTTTTCAAGCAATTTACATGCTTAGAGAGGAACTAATTATAAATAACAGGAAGTGTTGGAATGGAGAGCATTGTGGAAGAGGTAGAAGAGTGACCCTTGTCCTTGTGCTTTACTTTCACAGTTCTCCACCGATGTTTCCCTGACTTCTCCACGAGAAATGGCACTTTGACAGTAGGGAGCAGAATACTGTTCGAAGATGGAAGTGGAAAGACCAGAAATGCTGTAGAACTCAGAGAGGCTGCAAAGTACACTGGTTTATATATCTATCTTCAGTTTCAATGCATGCTACTATTGAACCCAATAGGAAAGCTTTCCAGAGGCTGACGGTTATGGGAATAGAATTATGTGTCACAGTGAAATGTACAAATTGCTCCAGATAGTGGAAACTTGGTAGATATTCATGAAGAAAAGTAAGTGAAGAGGAGGAATCAGAATGAATTAGAAAGAACAATCAAAATAGTGAAGGCTCTCGTTATCAGTAGTAAAAGAAATGTACCATAAAGATGTGATTATGCATATCAAAGTCCTACATATGAATGATAAAGAAGTAAATTTGCTGTTTCTTTTGATGTACATACATACTACTCTACATTATGGAGAAGTATCTCCGCATTTGGTGTTCACATTCATATGTGCACAGGCATAAGCATACAAAATGTCACTGCATAACTCATGTGTTAAATTAGACATTTAAACTAGAAATATTCTAATTTTTTCTTCTTCTTAAAAAAATTAACAGGTAGAGTAGAGATCAGGCATAGTTAGAATAGAACAGCAATATGGGTGTAAAGATCTGTAAAAGAAATCCATTGATATAAAGTGAAAATAAGTAAAACTAAATTAACTTGGCCAATAGCACTGTTTTTTTTTACTTAGAAAACAGTATTGTCACAATGGTCTAGATAGTGGTTCCTTTAAGGAAGAGGAGAGTGTTGTGATCAGGGCACATAAGGGAAGGTCTGGAAATTCTAGACTTGTATGAGTGGGCTTACCTTGATAATTATCAAGTTAGATGACAACGGTTAGAACACTCCTTGGTGTGTGTTCAATCACGCTTTACAGTTATATGGTTGCCACTGGAACAGAAAGGAGGATTGAAGTCCTGTGTCTTCTCAACTTTTTAAGCTTCATAAATTAAAAGCTGATCTTGACCTTTAATTTTACACAGTGAGGTTTCTACAATAAATGAGAATATACAGCATGAACTGCAAAATGATCTACTCAGTGTTTCTGAAAGCTAGGTTCTCTGTGTGTAGCTCCACCCATCTTTGCGAAGTTTATACACTTTTGCAGGCTCATCCACTTTGCAGGCTCACTGAAATGAGGTTTTATGAACTGTTGTGGCTATAAAATGGAACACTACTACTAGAGGGTTTCTATAAACATGCCTTGAAAAGCAGCTTGGGACATCTACTTTGTCCCAAGAGCATCTCTTTTTGAGTGTGAGTCTCAACATAATTAATTTTTCTTCTTTGAATTTAGTGGCATCAATAAAATCCTTGATGCAAGGACAGTTGCAATGAAAGTGTTTGAAGACTATGCAACAACTTGGTATTGGATTCTCATGTAAGTGAAAACACATGATGTTTCTTCTCCAGAACTCTGCTGATTTTACCTTTGTGGAACATTTCAAGTTCTTTATTCTTATTCTTATTTCTGGGTAAAAAGTTGATTGAGATCTCAAGTAGTGCCATTTTCTTTTTGAGATGGGTTAAGGATTAAGCAAAGATATTTTAAAATATGTCTGGTATTAACAGAATGTTGTAAAAGCCAGCTGCCTATGTCTTATCCCTGTAATCCTAGATTACAGAGATATGAGGATAATGGTTCAAAGCCAGCCTGGGCAAGAAATCCCATGAAATTCTTAACACCTATTAACTAGCAAAAAAAAAAAAAAAAGACTGAAGTGGAGCTGTAACAGCTAACTACCAAAAAAAGACTGAAGTGGAGCTGTAACTCAAGGGATACAGCACTAGCCTTGAACAAAAGAAGCTCAGGGACAGTGCCCAGGCCCCTGCGTTCAAGCTCCAAAAGTGGCACAAAAACCACAAACCAAAACAAAAACCCCTCAAAGTAGAGCTGTGACTCAAGTGGTAGAAATCTAACCTTGAGCATAAAGGCTAAGGACAGTGCCCAGGCCCTGAGTTCAAGCCCCAGTATTGGCACTAAAATAAAAGGAATGCGCATTCAGCAGTATGCATACTGTTCTTCACATGGTTCAGTGTGTAGACATGGTGTTATTTCTCTTTTTGCATCCAAAGGATCATTCCTAATTTCTAAACATGTATCATATAATGGTTGCTATTATTAAAGCTCATTGTAGTGAGAAGCTGAAAACATCTATGAAGAAGGGGCAGGTTTTTAAAACTTTCAGATATACATTTGGATTCCTGGAAAGATAAAGGCAGAACTTACCTACTGCAGTAGGTAAATGTGTTTGACCTATGTTTATCATGAGCAACTGGCTCTCTTATGCTATTTTCTAGAGCTACAAGTTTTTATGGTTCTCTAGTGATGAAAATTAAAGTTAAAAATTCTTATGACATTTCTGAGGTCCCTGATAGTCTATTCCAACTAAGCTTTTCAAATTTATCCCATCTATATTTTCTGATCAACTTTATATATTCTTAATATACCAAATAATATGTTTGTCCCTAGTCTATCAAATCCCATGTCATAGCACATTCTGTTCTGTTTCTTGTGTATCATGCTTCTCACGTTGCTCTACCTCATCAGTTTCATGGTACGAAATCTTTCTAATCTTCACCAGATAAATTATTTCCCCATCTTTGTCCTTACATCAATCATGTGTGTGCATACATCTCTACATACACATATCTACTTATCATCTATATAGCACCTAGCATTCTGTAATTATATGTTACATAATATATAATTATATAGTAATATAATTATATATATATTATTAATATAAAACTTATATAATGTAATTATATATAATATATAATCACAGACACATAATCTATAATATATACAGACATATAATTACAGGCACATAATTTATAATATGTTAATTAATATACAATTGGTATATATTAATAATTAATATATAATATTCATATATAATGTATAATGAGCATTGTATATAGATATGTAATTATATATAATTATATGCTATATATTATAATTATATATAATTATATATCTCTTCCTCTTATAAACTTGTCAAATCTTTATGATTCTAGCCAGACCTAGGTCATGTTTACGTTCCTGACTTTTATTCTAGTTTTTAGAACATCAAAAAAAATGTAGGATTGAGGAACAGGTATGAAATCACTAGGGGAAACTACGTAGATTCCACAAATTAAACTGAATGAAGCTTAAACTGAATGAAGCTTACTGAAGTTAAAATTTTGTATTATATATGAAGTTCTAGTGCTTTTTAGAGCTGTATAACTAGACTGTTTTCTGAGTTTATTCATTTTCATCCTTTGTCTTTAGAATTGCAGCCAGTAGGTGTGCTAGGATATATCTACTATATCATAGTCTCTCTCTCTCTCTCTAGATATATATATATATATATATATATATATCCACATATATATGATATATCTGCTATATATCATAGTCTATACTTCACTGTAGTTTGACTAGTTGGCTTGTGGTCAGACAAGTCACTTAGACCATTTCCATGTATGTATGTATGTATGTATGTATGTATGCATGTATGTAGTTATTATTTATTTATATTTAAGTAGTTGTACTGAGGGGTTTCTATTTTAATTTGCTTTTACATCTATATTTAAGTATGTGCATTTTATTATGGACTCTCCAGCCCACCACACTCAGACACATACTGAAATTCCCTCTGTGAACCACTCAGGCCACCAGAGATTCAAGTCTTATCTTTATTTTCAAACTTCTGTTCTCTTTTATTTTATAAATGTAGAGCTAATGTCCTAATATTATGAGACTTTGTGTTTATGTTAGAACTTTTGTGAAATAATTTTTTTAAAAAACAACTTTCTTTTTTTTGGGGGGGGGGTACGGTCGTGGGGCCTGAACTCTGGGCCTGGGTGCTGTCCCTCAGCTCTTCAGCTCAAGGCTAGCACTCTACCACTTGAGCCACAGTGCCACTTCCGGCTTTTTTCTTTTTGCTTATGTGGTGCTGAGGAATCGAACCCAGGGCCTCATGCATGCAAGGCAAGCACTCTACCACTGAGCCACATTCCCAGCCCCAACTTTCTTTTCCTACTCCAATCTTTTAAAATATTTTCCCTTGGACTATATCAAAGAATAATCCTTCAAAGAATAGACTGAGCATTAATGATATAGAGATTTACAAGGGAATGGATTTTGGAAGTTAAAAACATAGACTATAAGATTGAGAAGATGGTTTGACACTATGCTGTCTTCTATCTAGTGACAAAAACAACTGAGTTGTTTTAAGATAACATGTGAAATCCAGTAGGTGACTCACACTGTTATTTACATGGAGACTGGGTGACCTAAGGTTAAAAGCTATCCTGGGCAAAAATTTCACAAAACCCCTCCCATCATCCAATAAATAGTATATGCCTGTCATTTCAGCTAAGTGGGAAGTATAAATGAGGATCATAGTTCAGGCTGGCTGGGAATAAATGTGAGACCTTATCCCAAATATAATTAAAAGGTGTATCTAGCAAGTGTATCAAACAAGTGTAAATCCCTGAATTCAAACTCTAGTACTACCCAAAATTGAAAAAAGATAAAACTTGAGAACCCATTCTGTCAGTGGTTGTGATTGAAAATTTGTAGATGGCTCTGGTTATGTCACCAAGTCAGCCAAGTTTCCAAACTTAATGAGTTCTCACTGAGGAAACAGCATCAACAGAGACCCCATTGTCACTACAACCTGGACATGGTGAGGGCAGTGCGAAGAGCAGGAGTGAAGAGTTTCTTTAGCAGCTAGACCAATTCCAGGGAGAAATTAAAACAGAGAATTTTTATGCTATTAATTTCTTGAGAAGTCATATGGACCAGAAGATTCAGGAACCCTACAGATGCTCTAAATAATGGCCCTCAGAAAGTGGGAATAGGCAAGAAATGTCTAGCATTGCAAACTATTTAAGATAAGTAAGTCATAGTGATAATGAGTACAAAATCATGACTCCAGGAACTCTGTAGTCATTTTTCTTGGCCTTTTGCCTTGAGTGTACAACCCTTACTCCATACATCCATATAGATGATTTCCACTAGTCACCAGGTTCAGAAAAAAACACTGATTCATCATGGATACATAATGAATTGTAATTTATTATTAATATATTTGTAATTTAGCCGGGCGCTGGTGGCTCACGCCTGTAATCCTAGCTACTCAGGAGGCTGAGATCTGAGGATCGCGGTTCAAAGCCAGCCCGGGCAGGAGAGACCATGAGACTCCTATCTCCAATAAACCACCGGAAAACCGGAAGTGGCGCTGTAGCTCAAGTGGTAGAGCGCTTGCCTTGAGCTGAAGAGCTGAGGGACAGCGCCCAGGCCCAGAGTTCAAGCCCCACGACTGACAAAAAAAAAAAAAAAATATATTTGTAATTTATTACTTAGGAAGAAAATGTGAAAGAAAAATAAATATGACAATTGTGGCAAGTAGGTCAAACTCATAGGTTCAGGGAATCACAATTTTTTGAACAGTGAGTAATATTCTACACTTAGGCACTCAAAGATATCTCCCAAATAAAGTCCTCGATTGGTCTACACTTTGATGTGGGAGTCTTCATGAAAACCATTGTTTAGACTCTTTTATCTTGTGCAAGTTTCTATAATCAGGTAAAATAAAAGAATAGGAATCATTTTGAATAAGAAAGACCTTGTCCGGTACTTGTATGATGTTGTGCTTAGCATACTTGACCCCTCTCTCTCTCTCTCTCTTTTTTCTTCCAGTGGCCTGACTATCTCCATGATCCTTAGTTGGGTGTTTTTGATGCTCCTGAGGTACACAGCGGGATTCCTCTTCTGGTTCTTCATGTTGGGTGTGCTTGGAATTCTAGGATACGGTAAGCATCATTTCTCTTAAAATTGCCAAATACTGGAATAATCTATTTTAAATTACCATTATCAATTTCCTGAAAGCATTTACTTGCCTTAAATAACTGCCAAAAATAATCATTAAAATTTTGGAAAAATATTTGTAATTTTACACATATTATCTCTCTTTTTAAAATTATTTTCTTAATTATGTTAAGAAATAAGTATTCTTTTCCCTACGAGCCACTGTTCTCATGTCTCATGAATAATAAAACAGAGGTAAAAAGAATCTCTTTCAGGGGCTGGGAAGGTGGCTCAGTGGTAGAACGCTTCTCTTGCATGCCTGAGGCCCTGGGTTCAATTCCTCAGCACCACATAAGCAAAAAGAAAAAAGCCAGAAGTGGCGTTGTGGCTCAAGTGGTAGAGCACTAGCCTTGAGCTGAAGAGCTGAGGGACAGAGCCCAGGCCCAGAGTTCAGGGTACATGACTGGACCAAAAAAAAAAATCTCTTTCAGATTAATGAAAAACATTTCAGACTATTTATTTTATTCCTCTCACTTTTCTCTTTGATCAGAGACTTACAGTAGTGTAGTCCATTCTTTTCTTTCAATTTAGTTAGTACTTATAATCTGTATACTATCATTCCCTTCTAATAACTCATGCTTCATAATAAGTTTTCACTCCCTAGAGGTGAATATTTTGAATTACACTCATTAGGTGGAAAGATCAATGTTGAAATTTAACCATAACCTCTACATTCCAGAGCTGTTTAGGGCAAGTATGATGTGAACACTTTTATGGCAGCTACCTTCAGTCTTCTAAAAAGTGTATGGGACAGTATAGGAATGTTCGAGAGGCTTCTTGGCAAAAGAATAAATCTCCTAGAACAAAATTTGGGTTGACAGCACAGTTTTATGTTAGTCAACACCAACCATTAACTATCTCCTCTTTCTGTCTTCCAAAGAAGAGCCTTGCATCTATTAGAGTAAGAATTCATTTGGGAACTACAGGTGAGCCAGTGTGTACATAACTAGATTCACTAGATTTACTAGATTATAAGATCAGCTTTCTGGCCTATAACACCAACAGAGTAATGGTCTCTCCATCTCAGAAGACTGAAAAGATTAATTAGGACAGTGAAAATATGGGACATTCAGAACAGTGCCTAGAATACAGAAAATAATCTATATTTATTGGGTTATTGTCATTCTCCTCTTTGTCCTTAAGGAGTTTCCAGTAAATAGTTCAAGTCTGCTGTATTCTTCATCTGCCCTTTTTAAACTGCCTATGACTCTCACCTGGTTTTTTTCCTGGGCATGGGTAGGCAACAGACCAGTGGTGTGTGGGTCTCATGGAGGAAGTGTAAGAACTGCCATTCCCTAACCAGAAACTCCACAGCAAGCTTTATCAAGTCTTATTTTCATGTTCCCACTTGGAATTCAAACTAACTCAAGTTGTTTGCACTAGAGAGTCTAAGCTTGTTATTCAATCACTCTTTAATTGTCATAAGAAGGAAAGCCCAATAAAGTCTTCTATTGACTTTACTGCTTGTCCTGAGCAGCAGCAGAAATTGGAAGTTGGCTCTAGTGTAACTTTGACAATGGCAAGGGGAAAAAGATGGTCAATATATTCGCAAGTGCAGACAACACAATCAATTTCAGTTGCCCATTGACTCTCTAGGCATTGCTAACCCAGCAATTAATCATGTGGAAATTAAGCTTGGAGCTATTTATGGCAAGGAAATGTCCAATTAGGTTGAGAACTATAAGTAAATAAGACTGAATATGATTGACCTCTGCTACTATCTGAGACAATTGATTTTCTTACTTATCATGGGAAAACAGTCATTTCCTACTGACAGTAGCCTATTTAGTAGGACAAAAAAGAATGTGAATTTATCATAGTGAAAAGGAAAAAAAAGCCAGTCTATTTGTGAGCAGTTGTTCCATGCATATCCATGGAACAATTTTCATTGAGAAGAATAAGTTAAGAGGTATATAGGAAAGGCTCATAACTCCGTGATTAGTAAGTTTGAAAAAGGAATAATCCCAGATGCATGACACATATACATTAGACATATATACATATACATAAGAGGTTTATTATTGCTATAGAAAATAATAAAGTAGAGCCAATAAAATGGCATTGAGGATATAATATCGTATGAGGAGTAAAAACCAAACAAAATAAAAACAGCATTTTTCCCCCAGTCCCTGACACATGTTATATTATTGCGTGTAGCTCTGTCATTGACTCCTAGCTGTAGAGTATTTACTTTGAGAAGGGTTTTTTCCTAAGAAGAAATTTGTGGTGGCAATGGAATTAGCCAGTGGAGGTGAGAGAAAAATCCTAGACAGTTCAGCTAGAGCAATGGTCCTAAGTAAGAGTGAGTTGAAGAAATAGTGATGAGTGAATGGGTGTCCTGAGAAAAGGAAACAAGAAGAGATAAACATAGAACAAATGGAGGCAGGGCCTTACAGGTTATTATGAGGCTTTTTCTCTGAATGGAATGGAAAGGTATTGCAAGGCTTTGAATCAGAGATAGCTGTGGTGGGATGATTATTGTGGTTCCTAGGAAGAGAGTAGACTGTATTGTGGTGAGAGTAGAAGCAGGTGAAGGAGGTGTACCATGTGTCAAAAGAAGACCAGATGCAGGTGGTGGCAATGACAATAGGTCTACATGTTGTGAATATGAAAGCAATTGTATCCTAATGGGTTAAATGTAGCTGTGAGGGTGAGAGGAAGAAAGAAAATGATCCCACAAAAAAAGTAAGATGCATGACAGATAGTGAGTACAGAAAATGAGCAAAGCAAACTTTGCCCTCTATGAAGTAACAGTCTTGTTAAGTTAAAATGTACCTACTGGCTGGGCACCAATGGCTCACACCTTTAGTCCTTCTCAGAAAGCTGAGATCTGATTATCGCAGTTCCAACCCAGTCTAAGAAGGAAAGTCCATGTCATTCTTATCTCCAATTAACCACCAAAAAGAAGTAATAGAATGCTAGCTTGCATTAAAAAAAAAAAAAAAAACTTCAGGAACAACACTCAGGACCTGAGTTCAAGCCCCAGGACTGGACCAGTACACATACCCCCCCTCAAAAAAAGTACATAACTAAAATATCAAGCAATAACCAGAATGGAGTGATTCTTGAATTACCAGAGTTCTTTATTCTTCCTTGGTAAGATATTCAATTTAATATTTATTATTAAGCATGCAATAAAATTTCAAATATTATTATAAAAGTGGAGTAGTGGCTCCAAACTAGAAAAGGAAAATGGTACTAAGTAAACAGAAATAGATGCATTTTTAAAAGACAAGAATTGAAAAGAAAAAAAACTGGAAGAAAAATGTATAAACACAAAGTGGAATGGGAAAAGAAAAATAAGATTCATAATTAAATCAGTAAACTAAATAAAAATGAATTATACTCATCAAGTAAAACATAAGAAGTTGTCAGGCCAGATAACAATATATACATATAGATTGCAGCTTTATGTCAATTACAAGAGTTACAGAATGCATATAATATTTAAAAGTAAAATGGTTTAATTAAAAAGTTAGCGATGGGCTGGGAATGTGGCTCAGTGGTAGAGTGCTTGCCTTGCATGCATAAGGCCCTGGGTTCGATTCCTCAGCACCACATAAGCAAAAAGAAAAAAAGCCAGAAGTGGTGCTGTGGCTCAAGTGGTAGAGCGTTAGCCTTGAGCTAAAGAGCTGAGGGACAGCACCCAGGCCCAGAGTTCAGGCCCCATGACCGGACTCAAAAAAAAAAAAAAAAGCGATATTTGTTAAACAAAAGAGAGGCTGTAAAAACTGTATAATATCAGACAAAAGATATTTTAAAATAAAAATTATTATTAGGACTAGAAAGTTTTACATTTAGACTATCAGATCCAAATAAAATATTCATTGTGTAAGTATAAATCCTACTTTGCAGAAATGACTATACTGATTGGTTTCATGTAGACATGTGTGATAAATATATCAATTTTTTCTTTTCTTTTCAAGGAATATGGTACTGTTATCGTGAATACAACAAACTTGAGGACAATCCAAATTCTTCATTAAGTGTTTATGATATTGGGATTCAGACTAATATTAGCATGTACTTCCAATTGAAACAAACATGGTTCTCAATAAGTAAGTAGATTTTAAAGACTAATTTTAAAAATTTTAATAATGAGAAAGTGTCTTTTTATCTAAGATATATTTTAGTCTGTGCAACAAATGTATTGATAAGTGTTCTTATCAATAATGTAATTAGTCAAGTGTCTATAGACTATAGGAAATGAAAAAGTCATTGAGGAAAGTTTATTGTATATCCTGAGAAAATACTATTCTACAAGGTTTGCCAGCCATTTACCTTCAAATGGCTCAATTATGAATCTTTAGTAGAAACATTAACTTGATGCTAAGAAAATTTACAAAGAAACAAATGCTTGATTTTTCAAACTTGTTTCAAAAAGAAAATAAGAAATCAGAGGTTTTCTTCATAGCAAGACATTTAAACTATTTATTGTAGCAATTGTAAAAAAAAAAAACTAGAAATAAATTTACCTACTGAAGTCTTTGAGATGATATCAAAACAACTTTAATCTTATATATCTCCAGAATGGTTTTATTATAGTATTCCTCATATTTTCTAGTTTTGTGTTCTTTAATGTAATATAATTAATGTTCTTTAAAAAGTCATCTTTGGCTGGACATTAGTGGTTCATGTCTGTAATTCTAGGTACTTAGTAGGCTGAGATCTGAGGATTGCAGTTTGAAGACAGCCTGAGCAGGAAAGTCCATGAGATTCTTATCCTTAATTTTCCACATACTCAAAAAAAGAAGGTTAGAAGTTGGGTTGTGGCTCAAGTAATAGAGAAGTATCCTAGAGCACAAAAGCTCAGGGACAGTGCCTAGGCCCTGAGTTCAAGCCCTAGGATCTGCAGTAAAACAAAAGAGAAGGAAGGTAGGAAGGAAGGAAGGAAGCAAGCAAGCAACAGGGAGAGAGAAAGGAAAGGAAGGAAAGAAGGAACAAATGAAGAAATGAAGGAAGAAATGAAGGCAGAAAGAGAAAGATTAAATGTTGTTTAATAATGCAATTTCAGGATACCTGTAGTGATTCTGATTTATTTCATTTTCTTAAGTTTATTCAAAGATAGCAATCCTAGCATATTAAACTTCATAACTTTGGATTTGAGTTAGTTTTCAGAAAATAAATAACAAATACACAGTTTAAAAGATCTAAATATATGATGATGCCTTATTAAGTTTCCCCACATCTCTGTGTTAACTGAGTTCTACTTATCTGGTGACAGTACCTGATCCATGACTAGTACCAGATGTCAATGGTATGCCAATAGGATGAAATCATCAACATTATAGTTGTTTAGACACAAGCAGAATAAATATTTAGCAAAGGAGAATGTAAGAGGCACTCCTCCATGTGGGAGGCTTTTTCTATCAAGTATCTACTTTTATGTTCAGCGGCTTTTATTTGTAGCATCATATTTTCTTGACTTTTTTAAGATCCTGACCTTTCCATTTCTTAATATTTCTTACATCAGACTGCATCTTTAAAATTAAAAAATAGATATTTAGTAAAAGGTTTATTTACTTTCCATAAAAAGTTTTTACTAAACAAAGATGTTTGTTAGAGTCAATGAAATGTAATTATTGAGACTATGTGTTTTGAAAGTAAAAAAAATTCAACTATAGGATGGAAAAATCAAAACAATTTGAGGATAGAGAAGGGGGTGTATTACAAGAATATAGATATGGCTCATAAAACTCAAAAGACCAGAACAACAGTCAGACTTCCACTGATTTCTAGAAAAGCCAAAAGAACACACAAGATTTCCCCTTTGTTTCTTATTAAACATACTTAATTCCTCCTTTCAAGATTTACTTTCCTTACATAAAGTTGGTTTAGACACAGTTTTTTTTAAGTTCATATAACTTCCAGTTTAAAAATAAATCAGATTTTCTTAGTTTTGATTCTGTCTGTATTAAGGATTTTATTGGCCAAATTGGGTTGGTTTATAATTCATTTCCATCAAAAGTGGCTATGTTTGGATGGAGTACCAAAGTTAAAATATAGCAGTTAACACCGTCCTTTCGGTCAGCAGGGATGACTAAAAGGCGTGGTGAGTAATGTGAACAGCTTTAAAGGTTCCTTCTGAATGTGCTTCTTACTTTACTTATGTAACTGTAACCTTTCTGTCCATCACCTTTATATTAAAATTTAAATTACAAACGTAACAAGTAGAGCTGCCTGAAGCAGACCTTCCTTCCTTTCTCCCAAGACTGAAATGTTACATTATTACAAACCTAAGTACCATCCAGATGAGCTGTTCAAGTTCTACCTGAAGGGTTTAGGCTGGATTTCTTAGCATTTCGTGGAGGTCCTGAAACTAAATTTCTAAGATTAACCTTGTGGAGTGCTGGCATTGCTTGGATTATGCAATGTCAGCCTTGAGAGATCCTTGACAGAAAAAAAAAATCATGAAGCTCAGTGCTTTTGAAACTTTGTTGCTGTGATATCGATTTGTATTACAGACTGATATTTTTTTCCTATTCAAAGTGATAATACTCAGCATCCTTGAAGGGACCATCATCCTGCTGCTGATCTTCTTCAGGAAACGAATCCATGTTGCCATTATCCTACTGAAGGAAGGGAGCAAGTAAGACCCTTACTGAAGAAACCCAATATATATAAATCAATTAAATAAGATGGCCTGTACTACTTTCCCTTTAAGAAGACCTGTTAGGGATAGAGCACAGGATTATCGGCCTATAATCCTAGCTATACCCGAAACAGAGGTAGGAAGAAGAGCAGGCCAGCCCAGGCAAAACAGTTAGCAAAATTCTATCTCAACAAATAACTTTGATGTGGTGATTCATAAATCCAAAGTAAGAGGATGACATCTGAAGCTGGCCTTGGGGAAAACATAAGACCTTATTGAAAAATTAAATTAAAGAAAAGGGCTGGAGTATGAATGCAATAAGATGCCTGCCTATCAAGAGAATTCAAACCCAGTACCGAATAATAGGTTTTTGCTTATTTTTTTGTTTGTTGGTCGTGGGACCTGAACTCTGGGCTTGGGCGCTGTCCCTCAGCTCTTCAGCTCAAGACTAATGTTCTACCACTTGAGCCATGGCACCATTTCTGGCCTTTTCTGCTTATGTGGTGCTAAGGTATTGAACCCAAGGCCTCGTGCATGCAAGGCAAGCACTCTACCACTGAGCGACCTTCCCAGTCCCTGAAAAAATTTTTTTTTAATTTTTAAAAAAAATATTTGTTAGCCGGGCGCTGGTGGCTCACACCTATAACTGTAGCTACTCAGGAGGCTGAGATCTGAGGATAATGGTTCAAAGCCATTCTGGGTAGGAAAGTCCACAAGACTTATATCGAATTAACCACCAAAAAAGCCAGAAGTGGAGCTATGGCTCAAGTGGTAGAGTGCTAGCCTTGAGCAAAAATAGGTCAGGGACAGAACATAAGTTCAGAGTTCAAGTTCCAGGACTGGCGCACATGCAAACACACACACACACACACACACACACACACTTAAAACTATTTTCTATTCAGGAAGGCTTATTGAAGTTCAGATGTTGCCACGTATTAGAAAGACAAAGCTCAATAAACCTTTAGAATTCCCAAATCTCAGTTGTGAATAGCATAAAACAGGATAGACTCTGTCTGGTTTCTGCATTAGCACTGTTGAACTGTAAGAATATATTAGAACAATACCACACATAAAATAAGTTAACAACATTCTATATAAAACTTAGCTCTATTCTAGATTATAGTGTTCCCATACTGGGCTATATGTTAATATTAATAATTAAGATAATATGTAGTACTCCAAATCACCATTCTGTTACAGAATCAGTTCTGTGCAATTACCTTTTCTGTATGAGTGGCAAATTTTTCTAACAGAACCATTGATTATAGCAGCACTAGAGTATACATTTTTGTGTATAAAGTTCATAATTCTGGGATGGCAATATCAGAACAATTTTGATTTTTAGCTCTTCATAAACTTCACGCTGGGAGACAATAGTACCTATGACTTCTAAGCTATTCTAAAAGGTCACTTGAGGATAACCCAAACTTTTAAATAATGCTTGAAAGGAACCAGGGGAATATTTCTATTAAAACAACAGACTATACTCTTTACTTTGAATGATGGAAACTAAGCTGTTAAGGTCCAAGAACCAAATTATTTTTAATTGTCTTTCAGGGGCACTTGCACAAAACGGCCATGTTATTATCATAGTGGTGCCACCTGAAGCCAGTGGTTTAAACACTTAACAAGCTGTTTGTTAAACTCTCTCTTTTCCCTCACAACAACTGAAGCCTTATCATTATCCACTGAAAACTACATATTTTCTAGCTTTATTTCTTAAATAATATGTTATTGTACAGTTGACTGTAAGTTGCCCCACTTGATATGACCTTGTGTGTATGTATGTGTGTGTGTGTGTGTGTGTGTGTGTGTGTGTGTGTGTGTGTGTGCGTGTGTATAGGGCCAGTACATCTATGCCAGGTTGATAGTTTGCTCAGGTAAAATTAGAACTGGAAAGATAACTATAAGAATACAAAGTATACTTAAGGATTCTTAGTAGTTCATTTACACTTAGTATGTAGAGATAGAAGAAAATAGCATAGCTGAAATAATAAGATGAAGATGACAAATGCAGGAGATATCAGCTCATGTCAATACCTTTGCAGTGGTTAGATCTCCATGGTATCAAAGAATATTGGGTTTGATCCAACATTATATATGAAACAATCATTTAAAAGAAGAAGTTAAAAACAGCACAACTAGGCTGATTGTACAAACAATGTCCTATGAGGAAACAGCAAAGAAATGTTCATCCTGGAGAAGATTAAAAGGATAGAGACTCACTTGAGTGAATAAACTAGTTGAGGTATTATAAAGAGTAGGCAGATAAGAACTTGCCAATATTTTGTTAGGAAAATGGAATTAGTTGTGTTATGTAAAATTAACTTCCCATCAGTCAGTATCTTCACAAAGTTTACTCAATTGGATAGGGGGTATGTTTGAATCATGAATGAGTTTCTACAGTGTAACAAATAATACTTGGAATATTTAATTTTAAAAGTCCCAGAATCTGGGCTGGGAAGGTGGCTCAGTGATAGAGTGCTTGCCTTGCATGCACAAAGCCCTGGGTTTGATTCGTAAGCACCACATAAGCAGAAAAAGCTGGAAGTAGCACTGTGGCTAAAGTGGTAGAGTGCTAGCCTTGAGCTGAAGAGCTGAGGGTCAGTGCCCAGGCCCAGAGTTCAGGCCCCACGACTGACAAAAAAAAAAAAATTCCCAGAATCTAAACAAAGGAAGAAATCTCTTGATTATAATGTATCAAAAATTTGGGCTGGGAAGGTGGCTCAGTGGTAGAGCCTTGCATGCCTGAGGCCTTGGGTTCGATTCCTCAGCACCACATAAGCTAAAAGAAAAAAAAAAGCCAGAAGTGGCTCTGTGGCTCAAGTGGTAGGGTGCTAACCTTGAGTTGAAGAGCTGAGGGACGTAGCCCAGGCCTAGAGTTCAGGCCCCACGACTGGACCCCTCAAAAAAATTGTGGAGAGAAATTATCAAAGAAAAGAGAATTAGGGGGCACTTTGGATAGGAACATTGGCAGACTACTCCAACTTACTTAAAAAAAATCGAAACTGACAAATTTCTCAACTTAAAGAAACAAATAAAAATTGAAACCATTAAAATTTGTTAATCAGTGAAAAGAATAAGTAATTATCATCATTGTGATGATGATGATGATGATCAGAATTATTTCTAAGACTTCTATTTCTCATAGACAAATATTTAACAGAATGAACACTCTGAGTCTACCTTCATTTTGAACTTAAACTATTTGTTTTATTTCAGAGCCATTGGATATATTCCTACTACATTAATATATCCAATTGTAACTTTCATTTTGCTTGCAATCTGCATTTCCTACTGGGCTGTGACAGCAATGTATCCTTTGATAATTGACTCTTGATGTTTCTACTCTTTATCATTACTCAGGAGCTATGAGTTTTGTTCAGTGTTTTCTATCATTAGGGAATGAGAAACATCTGAAAAAAAACTGGCTTATTTTTTCAAGCCTTAAAATATCTCAGTCAATGATGTCATTTTCCGTGAAATAGATCATGTGGTCTACTTGTTATATTTTGTCTTTACATATAATACTTTGCAACAATCTAAGAAAACTCTGTTATATTTAATTGATTTTTAGGGGCCACTCAATGGGACTGACCCATATGACACTAGGTATGATAGGTAGATGAATTATTAAAATATTAGAAGAATTTTGAAATTAATCTTTCTATGGATTTCAGAATTATCTACATTTTTTTCCTTGTCTACTATTTGCAAGTTACCAGTGAATTGTTTATCCTTAATAGAATTCTCCCAGTTTCTTGGCAACTTCAGGTGTTCCTGTGTACAAAGTTGTAGTCCCAGAGGGGAAATGCGTACATGAAAATGAAACATGTGACCCAGAGGTAAGTAAGAGAAACTCTCCTTGATCTACTTTGATTTTTTTTTTACTACATTTTACTACATTTCATTTCGTGGTTGTGACTGTCATTTGGAAATAAATGCTATATACTGAAGTGGGGATAATGTGTGGGTTAGCAATGAGCATTAAAAACAGGAAACAGAATGGAAAGAGAGCACAAAGATTTTTTAAACCATCATGTACCCAAGAAGTTTGTATGATTAACAAATGTGAAATTTATTAGTGAGTGAGTAATGAGCATATATTTTAAAATGAGGTTCTTTCCAGAGCTCATTAAATAAATATATATATGTATATATAATCAATAAAATAGCAAATAAAAGAGTAACCAAAAAAGCTAATGGAGAAAATAAGACATACAGAAATATAGTTGAGTACTACCAAAGAGACAAAGGAATGACATTTAGTATATTCTCTGTGTTTTTCTTTCTCTGAGTGTAGATATTCAACACAACTGAAGTTATCAAAAGTTGCCCTGGGGCTCTGTGTAACTTTGCTTTCTACGGCGGAATGAGTCTGTACCATAAGTACATTCCTACCTTCCATATATACAATCTGTTTCTCTTTCTCTGGCTTATAAACTTCGTCATTTCATTGGGTCAATGTGCCCTTGCTGGTGCCTTTGCTACTTATTACTGGGCCATGAGAAAGCCTGATGACATCCCACCACATCCACTTTTTACTGCATTTGGTCGAGCCATACGGTAAGCCCTATGTTGAACACTACAACCTTTTCTTCAGTTACATACAATTTATTATACATTATATATATATATATATATAAAACAGTATATATATAACTGTTATATAATATATATGTATATACACAGTGTACTTTTTCCATCTTGGCTAATTAATTCAAGTGACAAGATGCAAATAAGCTGAAAGCATGATTCAAGATTTATGGATGTTCATTGGCTTGTTTGATTTCATAGATATTTCTCTCTCTCTCTCTCTCTCTCTCTCTTTCTCTCTCTCTCTCTCTCTCTCTCTCTCTCTCTCTCTCTCTCTCTCTCTCTCTCTCTCTCTCTCTCTGTCTGTCTCTCTGTCTCTCTCTCCCTCTCTCTGTCAGTTGTGGGGCTTGAACTCAAGGCCTGGGCACTGTCCCTGAGCTTCATTGTGCTCAAGGCTAGCACTCTTCCTCTTGAGCCACAGCACCACTTCTGATTTTTGAGAGGTTCATTGGAGATAAGAGTCTCATGGGGACTTTCTGCCTGTACTGTGATGCTCAGATCTCATTCTCTCGAGTAGCTAGGATTACAGGGTGAGCCACTGATACCTGGATACTGTCTCTTACCTTGGCCAATATCCTTCTAAATTCCATAGGTGATTAGAGATGAGAAGGGGTGGAGGAAGGGGCACTAAAGGAAAGATTAAGAAATAACCTGGCTCTGTAGCTCTATTGCTCAGATTAAACATCCTATTTTATGAGAATACACTATTCATTGACAAAAGACATAACAGATGTCAATACAGACCTTTGAATGAGAGCGTGAAAGGCTCTTTTTCCAGCAGATCTCTTTTACATCTGAAAATTGTTCAAGTTGAAACCTGTTACTTAGCAATCAAATTATTTTACCTTTTATTCTCATTTTATCTTTGCCCAGGTATCATACAGGATCTCTAGCATATGGATCATTAATCCTTGCAGTAATTCAAACATTTAAAGCAACCCTAGAATACTTGGACCGTCGTATTAAAGGTAGAGTTCTACAACTGATGTGAGGCACTCTGATTTCCCCAAGGAGAATAGAATATGGCTGAAGTGTGGAGAGGCCTGGTAGCTGTAACTTGGCCTAGTAAAGATGGAAATAATCAAGTTTGAATATGTTTTTAAGGACAACCCTAGAGGACTTGCTGAAGATTTTGGATATCAGGAGAAGGGAGCAACAGTTGTGAAGAGAAAAAAAAAATCTGGAGATAGCTGAAGCAAATTTTAAAAAGACTAATGATTCTACTCAGAGTGTTACAGCTGAGAAGCATGGCAATGTCAGATAAGCGGAAATAAGTCTAGTGTTCAGGTCAGGCTAGGCTTACACTTTAACTCCAAGTGTCATTGGCCTAAGTCTTCGCATAGGACACATACACTATATAAACAAACTAGCTCTGTTTATAGTGTACCTAAAATAGTCAAAACAATCTCGAGAAAGAAAAGGCAGAGTTTGGGTACTTATTTTAAAACTTAATGCCAAAGGCAGGTTCCAGTGGCTCATGGCCATAATCCCAGCTATTCAAAAGGCTGAGTTCTGAGGATTGTAGTTCAAAGCCAGTCTAGGGAGAGAAGTTTCATGAGACTCTCATCTCCAATTAACCACCATAAAACTGTGGCTCAAGTGGTAGAGGACTAGCTTTGAGTGAAAATGTTCAGGGACAGAGTCCAGGCCCTGAGTTCAAGCTCCAGAACAGCACCAAAACAAAACAAAACCATCCTCTCCCCACAAAACACCAAACTAAACCAAAAACAAAAACCTCAATGCAAAGCTACAGCAAGAGGGTGGCATTGACAGCAGGACAGATATATAGACCTGGAGTAAGCCTGATGCAGAAAGGCAAGTCTTTTCGGTTAATAGTGAGGGAAAATTGTAATATCCATATATAAAAGCATGAAGTTGGGCCTGAACCTTATATCCAAAGAAATTAACTCGGAAAGCACCAGACCTAAACAGAAGGGCTAATATACTATAAAACTTTTAGAACGGGGGCTGGGAAGGTGGCTCAGTGGTAGAGCGCTTGTCTTGCATGCATGAGGCCCTGGGGCTCGATTCCTCAGCTCCACATAAGCAAACAGAAAAGCCGGAAGTGGTGCTGTAGCTCAAGTGGTAGAGCACTAGCCTTGAGCTGAAGAGCTGAGGGACAGCGCCCAGGCCCAGAGTTCAGGTCCCACGACCGGACCAAAAAAAAAAAAAAAAAAACTTTTAGAAGAAAACATAGGAAGAGGTCTTCATGATAGCAGATTTGATGGTAATTTCTTGGCTATCAAACCACAACATAAGAAAAAAAATCAATGCTTGATACTGATGGTTCAAACCTATAACCCTAGAAACTCAGGAGGCTGACATTTGAGGATTGCAGTTTGAAGCCAGCACAGACAGGAAAGTCCATGAGACTCTTATTTCCAATAAATTACCAAAATAGTCGAAGTGGAACTGTGGCTCCACTAACCTTGAGCTAGAAGCTTAGGGACAGCCCAGGGCCTGAGCTCAAGCCCCACAACTGGCACAAAAAATGTGGAAAAAAATGAATGAAAAATGAGAATGAAGACTCATGCAATGGAAAAGAATATTCTGCAAAAAGCATGCCAAATGCCCTTATCAGAATAAATTTTGAAAACTTCTATAACTCAATAGCAAAAAAGTAGAACTAATCAAAAATAGGCAAATTTCAGTGGAAATCTGAGAGGTGATACAAGTAGACGCAAAAAAAAGGTGAAAAATATTACTAGTCATTAGAAAAAATAAAATTAAAACCATAATGAGATACCACTTGACACCCATTAAAGTGGCTATGAAGAGAACAAACAAAGTTGTAAGTGTTGTCAAGGATATAAAGAAATTAGATCCTTTGAGTGTTGCTGGTAAGAATGTAAAATGGTCTAATCACTGTGGAAAACAGTATGGAAGTTCTTCAAAAGAGTAAAAAATTAGAATTTCAACTGACCCTGAAATTCCACTTCTAGATTTGTATTCAAATGAGTTGGGAACAGGATTCAAACAGATATTCATGGCAGCATTATTTTAAAATATATGTTACTGAAGTAGTTGTACAAAGAGTTGAATGAAGCAGTTCAATGAAGCAGTTTATAAATACAATGCATCTTTATCTTTATCTTTATTCTTAATATCCAAAAAGTGAAAACAACTCAAATCTACTAACTGGTGAATGGAAAAACATATTATATACATACTATAAAATATTAATCTTTAAGAAGCACAAAATGATAAGCCTTTAAAACATTATGTCAAGCAAAATAAGCAGATGTAAGAGCACATTTTGTCTGGCTGGAAAAGGCAAATTCATATAGACAAAGAATAATAGAGATTACAGAGGTTATTAGGAAGGGACAGCTACTGAACAAATATAGAATTTCTATTTTGAGATGATAATAAAGTTCTGAAAATGGACAGTGATGAGTGCATGGCACTGCTGAATACTTAAAATGGAAAAATTTTATACTGTGCATATTTTACCACATTAAAATTTTAAAGCTAACTTAGAATACTTTATTATTATTTATTTTTAATCACAGAGCTCAGTTGCAAATCATTAATTTAATGTTTTTTTTTTAGATGCCCAAAACATCTTTGCTAAATTCTTACAATGCTGTCTGAAGTGCTGTTTCTGGTGTTTAGAAAACATGGTGAAGTTTTTAAACAGGAATGCCTACATTATGGTAAGCAGATTTTTTAAAAAATCATGTCTACCTTGCTCTTTCTAAAGTGCTTTTATACCCTATAATTGAACTTATCATGTTCATTTGAGGATCTGTGAAGCCATCACATGACAAGAGTGTGCTTTCCTATTTGAGATATTATGCCTTTTCTGAGGATAAAAATATAATTTGTACTGGGTGCCGGTGGCTCACATCTGTAATCCTAGCTACTCAGGAGACTCAGATCTGAAGATCGCAGTTCAAAGCCAGCCCAGGCAGGAAAGTCTGTGAGCCTCTTATCTCCAATTAACCACTAGAAAACTGAAAGTGGTGCCATGACTCAAGTGGTAGAGTGCTTGCCTTGAACTGAAGAGCCCAGGCCCAGAGTTCAAGCCCCATGACCAACAATAATAATAATAATAATTTGCATTGACAATTTAAAAATGTGCTGGATGGAAGATGGTTATGTATGTCTTCGACAGTTTAGTAAAGATGAAAGCTCACTTAATCCATATTTTACTTAGCAGAAATTATCTTCCTAACTCAGGGATTTACATAATTTCAAGGGAAGATATTTGATCCTTTCTATGAATCTTGTATTAAAATATGTTGGCATTGGAAATGTTTGGTTAAACTTATTCACATTTCCCTTGGGAATCTGGAGACTTCTAAAGAGGTTTTTTTTAAAAAAATAGGGGATCCAGAAATATAATTCTTTTAACATTTAGAAGCTATATCACTTTCTTTACATCATAATGAGATACAGTGATTCAAATATTAAAATATCACAGAGATTCAAATATTCCTTAATTTATCTACAGTGATAGTATTGCTTTCTGAGCCTTTTAATCAGTAAACCAAGAATAGTAAAGGTCTTGAATTTCTTTAAGAATAAGTTTTGATGGGGGAAGAAAACAATATTTTTTATTTTTTGTCAGTCGTGGGGCCTGAACTCTGGGCCTGGGCGCTGTCCCTCAGCTCTTCAGCTCAAGGCTAGCACTCTACCACTTGAGCCACAGCGTCACTTCCAGCTTTTTCTGCTTATGTTGTGCTGAGGAATCGAACCCAGGGCCTCAGGCATGCTAGGCAAGCACTCTACCACTAAGCCAACTTCTCAGACCCAAGAAAACAATATTTAACTCATTCAGCAACATTCGCTAGCCAAAGCATTTCAAAGACAAAAGCTCTACCTAAACCTGGAGAAGAAGCCCTACTTCTCTTTGAGGCTGCTGATCCACTGGAGTTCAGGGACATACCACAGGTGAAAAGCACTTTAGTGTTAGTGATTCTTGAAGTTGAGAAGAGATGAGGACACATAGCTTACAGGCCTTCTTGTCAATGTTGGAAAGAGGATGGGATATTAGTATGAATTGCAAGAATAATTTTTTTGTTTTTGCTGAATTGCCCTTTGATCTTGTCATCGTATATTACTGACACAAGATTACCAATTGTCTGCCTCAGATTGCACTGTATGGCAAAAACTTCTGCAGGTCAGCAAGAGATGCTTTCAATCTGCTGATGAGAAACATTTTAAAGTAAGTAATGAGGGTGAAGACTGAAATAGACAATTTGGTGAACCTCAAACATGACATATTTTACATATTGCCATTAATAATATTATATTTTTAACTTGATCTGTTTAAACATTCTCTCACATCATTCTTTTTCATATTTTAGAATTGCTCCTATCAGCTGCCTAGATTTTTACACCTATTGGCATTTATTCACTTGCATTATCCTGTCTGTTTAAACATTTCCTAGATAAATCACATTTATCCTCTTTGGAGGATATTCGCCACTCCCCTTCCCAAACTTGGTGGAAACTGAGTCGATAAAATCAAAGAGAGCATCCTCAGGATGTAGCATGTCTGCTAGCCTTGAAGCAGAAGATAGAGGCCAATACTTCCATGTGTGAAACCTAGCAGCCTTATGATGCCATCTTCTGTCTACTTCATTCAAAATGTCAGAACTTCATACCTGGATTTGACTTACATTTTTCTCACTTACCAACTGCCAAATAAAATGCCAGCTAAAACACATCAAAATGAATTCATGAGGTGTTTAATACATTTCAAGCAGCAACTGTATTTTAAACACAAAATTACACTTTCCTTTTTTTCTCTAATACTCAGAGTTGCAGTTACAGATGAAGTTACACACTTTGTATTACTCCTGGGGAAAGTTCTAGTTTCTGGCTTTATAGGTAAGTAGATATTCAAAGTAAGATTAATAAAAAGATGAAACTATACTTGGAAAATTTACTACAGAAAGCTATGTGTCTCTGCAAATACATAATGGACATGCTCTGCCTTTCCCATTTAGGACTTTTGGCCTTCTTGCTCTTCACAGAAAGGTTGCCAATGGTCGATTATGAACCAACATCATTAAATTACTACTGGATCCCTTTGCTGGTAAGAGCTGACGTCTTAGTCCGTTGGGAGTGCTGTAACAAAAATGTCATAGAGTGGGCAGCTTGAATAATAGGAATTTATTCCTCTTGGTCTTCAAAGCTGGGAATTTCAAGCTAAAAGTCCTGATTGTTCAGTTCTGGGTGAGGGTCTCTTCCTGCTTCACAGAGGGTTCCCTGGCTATTTCTTCTAGTGGAGAGAAGAATCATCTTCTTACAAGGAGAATGCTTCTCCTTGTAAGGGCACTATTCCCTCCATTAAGACATAACCCTGGTGACATTCAAATTCAATCACTTTGGGGATTAAGATTTCAGTGTAAGATTTTAGGGTGATACAATTCATTCCATAGAAGTTGGGTATTGATTCTGATTCATCAGAGAGGAAACTCTTTTTTTTAAAAAGGCAAACAGAAAATAGGAAAAATAATCATGACAGCTAATGTCATTGATCTTACTTTGTGCCAACCCTCATCCTCCTGCTTTAGGGGCTAGGTTGCTTGGAAAACTGCTCATCAGATAGAGGATTGCATGCAGGTTTATTAGCAATCCTTCTCTGAATTATATCTATAAGGAAGTGAGGAGTGCAGCAGGAAAAACTGATCCATACTATAGTTAGAGCTGAGGCTTCAGACATAATTATAGGAAGTTCTGGTAAAGGAATGGGCCTTTGTAAATCGTACTATGCAGCTGTTAACCATGATCTGACCTCCAGATGGTGACTTAACCTTCAGTGACACTGTTCCTTGCAGGGAGGGCATTTCCTAATCAGGGAAGCAGCTGAATCATCAGCAGCCCACATTCTCTACCACTGTGGATGGAGTGGACCAGGCAGCTGGAGGAGCCTTGCAGTATCTATTACAATATATTAGCTCTCTTAATCTATAAAACAAATGCTGCTATCACTCTTCTGTTCTCCATTGCCAATTTAAAAAAGCAAACACAGGGAAACTTAAGTCACTGTTGAATGCCTGAGCGATAATGCAAACCCAGGCACTATGTGTTCTTAACCCCTTCCGCTTCACCACCTTGCTATGGATAGAATTAAGGGGAGATGCGTTTTGTATGCATTGAGAAACATCAGTAAGAAATGGGTATGTAATTTAGAATATTTTCTAAATGTTCTAATCTCAGGTCAAAGCTCACAAAAGCCTGATCATTCAGTATTTTGATCTGTATATTGAAATCTTTCCCCAACAGAGTCTTTCGAAGCTTTCTGATTATGGCTTTTGTTTATAGATTGTGGACAGTCAATGATGTGTTGATTCTCTTTATCTATTTGCAGACTGTCATTGTTGGATCATATCTAATTGCTCATGGGTTCTTCAGTGTCTATGCAATGTGTGTTGAAACAATTTTTATCTGCTTCTGTAAGTATTCAGTATGCACATTTCCCCCTTCCTGTGGATAATTGAAAGATGAGAAAGATGAGTCCCATGTGCTTAACTAGCTTGTGGATATTCTATCACCTGGCTGCAATCACAACTAAGAGGAAACATTACTTAGTTGGCATACTTTAATCTTTAACTGCTAACAAATGAGCCAGAGGGAAGGAGACAAATAATTCATGATCTCTCTTATAGGTGACAGCTAAAGACTCAAACTCAGACAGTGAAGCAGAGCAGACAAACAGTAGCCAGGATCAGAGGGGTAACTAAAATGAGGAGATGTTTGTCAAATGGCACAAACTCCAATTACAAGAACGAGTCTTGACAGCTAATGCAGAGAATGGTGTAGACAATAGCACTTTAAAATTTGATGTGAAAGACCTTGAGTGTTTGTACCACACACACAACAAATATCAACTATGGAAGGGGATTATATGCTAATTAACTGATTAGTAATCATCCCACAATTAAATGCATATTAAAATTTTATATAGCTTAAGTACAATTTTGTCAATTTTACTTCAATAAATCTCGGGAAAATTGATATTTCTATAAAGCTGTAAGTAAAACAGAAAATCACATACATACACAAACACACACACACACACACACACACACACACACACACACACACACACACACACACACACACACACACAAAACCAAAAAATGTAACAGCTGAAAGAATAGAGTTTGCCAAGTACAAAGGAGTCACCTACTGCAGTAAACCTCAGGCGATATTGCATAGTGCTAGCTAGAAATTATGCTTTTTCCTTTCTTTTCATTTATTTTTCATTATGAAGGTTTGAATCCTGGGCCTTTTGCTTTCTCTTGGCTTTTTCCCTCAAGGCTGGTGCTCTCACTTGGGCCACACTTCTAGTTCTGACTTTTTACTGGTTCATGGGAGGTAAAGAGTCTAGTGGTTTGTCTGCCAGAGTGGGCTGTGAACCATGAGTCTCAAATCTCAGTCTCTTGAGTAGCTAAGATTACAAATGTGAGCTACAAGCTTGGCTTTTTTTTTGAGTTCTTAATGTTTTTAGATGCATAAGGATGGTTGACTTCTATAGTGCTATGTGAACATAACTGAGGATGTAACTGGAATTCTTTAGCTAGGTTTTGGAAATTCTTTGAAGAAATCCCTGACAGATTCTGATAAAGCCAAGCTGACAATAGTTTCAAAGCCACATAGGGCTAGTTGATGCTACATAACATGAAGACAGATGGGTAAGATTCAGAGAGGAATCTGCCTAGGAAGTAGCTGGATCAATTTAGACACTTAAGAGTTCAAACTCTTCTTTAGAAAAGCTTTCATCATGACCTAGATGCTGCTGCTATGGGGCATTCCCAGACAGATGTTTTAGCACCTCATCTAAAATACTCTGTAGTATCTGTTAGGACTTTAATCTGACCTTTTCCTTCAGTGACATCTCTTCAGCAGGTAAAAAAAACCCAGCCTATTATACTGCTCTGCACCCTGAGAGTTTATTTTTTTGGTACCTAGTTTTTCAGAGAAGCAAGAAAAAAAATCTTATTTTCTGGGCTGTGAGTGTGGCTCAAGTAGCAGTATACCTGCCTAGCAAGTACCTGCATTAAAGTCCTAGTAGTGTCCCGTATGTCCCCCAAAATATCATTTTCTTTACAACATTACTGAGCCAATCCCCTTGTAGGAAACCTACAGGTTATTCTTAACAAGGACACAGATGTTATACACACACACACACACACACACACACATACATATATTCCCTAGAAAATAATCTGTCTTTTTCTTTCTGAATATGTTTAAATCTTTCAATAACTGGACAAAAAAATCAAAGAAATGGAACTGGAATATATTTTTTCCTGAATTCTTGGTGTTTTATTTTTGTTTTTGAAGCAAATACATGTTTAGAAAATAGAACTAAATCTCTATGTGGTTATGGGGTGGACATAGGTGCCTATAACCAGTGAGTCCTGAAGACCCGTGAAGGTGAGTTCTGGATTGCTGGTGTACTTCTTTCACTTCCAACGTTCCTCGTGGAAGCAACAGGAAGAGAGCTCTCTGTGATGCTCCTTACTCTTATAGCTGAGAAATTTGTTTTTCAAAATTTAAGAAAATATCCCAAACTTAATAGCTTCCAAGTCTTTGAGAACATAAACTAATGCCATCCATTTCAGTGACAGTGGAGTTTTGATTTGGCCCATGAGAAATGTTTTTCACCCAACTTCTTGAAAATCAGGTATAATATCCTTTTTATTCCTCACTGTATGTTCAGATGTATGTTCAAAGACTTTTCTATGAATAATAATAAAAAGCAAGGGAAGCCACATGGCATTTCCCTTCCCTCTCCAGCTTCTGTGACTAGCAACATCGTACATTGCAGAAGATTCATCAGTAAGATTCTAAGCCACATTCTGAGTGTGGAGCCAGAATTTTTTACTTTTTATATGACTTTTTATACTGATTATCTTGATTCTCAGAAAACTTGACTTTTTAAAAAAAATCAGCCAACTGTAAATGTTTTATTTATAGAAATACTTTTTTAACATTATAAGTCAATGCATCTCCCATAATAGTTATAGGTAATTATTAAGGTGAACAAAACCACACTTCCTATCAAATATCTCAGGGGTAATGATGATACAGACATATGTGTAATCTATAGCAAAAACAGCAACAACAAAAATAGATGTTTCATATTTGTCATGTTCTCCCCTTAACTTTTTATTTTGTATATGAGGAAGTCACTATGAGATCTAATGTAAAAGTAAATCAGTAACCCATTTATTCCTAATAGAGTATAGATACTGTCTGCTATGAATCATGTGTCCTTGATAGAAATTTAATTTCAGGCAAAGATTTTGTTTCCCAGTATGGTTTTGGAATTTCCCTACCTGGAGGCTTGGTGAATATTAGCCTAAACACAGCAAGATCAATTCACATATTGCAGAAAGTCAGACAATACTGGCATTTGCTTTTGAGTATAATCTGAGGCAGCCCACAAGGGTAGAGGGCAGGACACTATGTATTAAAAGTAGGATGAGGGCTGGACTAGATGTCAATGGGGAGGGTCCTCCTGTCTTCCTCATTCCCTCAGCCTTCAGCATTGTTACACCCCTGTGCCTCAGCTTCTTCCCCTGTGTGGACTACCACTGAATGTTAACTTTGACCAGTATAGTGTGTACACCTATAACCCAGCACTTAGGAGGTTGAAACAGGAAGATTGCAAGTTGGAGGCCTGCTTGGACTAGATATCATCAGCATCAACAACAAATACAACAAACACAAGGAGATTTCAAGGCCTGAGATTCAGTGAATGTACACTTCTCACAGAATCAGTACATTTGTTATTCAACTCCATCACTATGAGTGTGCTAAGTTTATGCTTTTCTGAAATAAGCAGTGATAGGATTTAATGTTAACATCTTGGTGTGGAACTATGGAAGGTCTTTAAGGAAACCTCATTGGGAGTGGGAGGAGCCAGTGGAAAGGATGAAAAAGGATGGTGCTTCCTGCAAGAAGTTGGGGCATCTTGCCTTGTCCAGCATTAACAACTTAACTGCACTTATCTTCTCTTTGGTTTCTAACGCTGATTTCTCTGATTCTTTTCCCCTGTTCGACTCTGCCATTCATAAAAATGCATTCAATTGTTCTGTGGCTGTTTGCTGCTTTTGCACTGCTGCATATACAGGTGAAGATCTGGAAAGAAATGACGGATCAGCAGAAAAACCTTACTTCATAACCCCTAACCTTCACGGGATTCTGACCAAGAAGCAACCAGTTCCCCAGAAGCAGAAAGTTTCCCAGAAGTAGTACAGTTCCAAACAGTGTCATGGCCTAAGCTGAAGTTCTGTAAATCAGATCCATTGTCATTTAAAAATGTTGCTTTCGAGGAATGTGAACTTTCTGTGCTATTTCTAAAGAATTAGCACAGAACTGAGGTGTGCCAACTGGGGCATTGGGTTTGCATGGCAATGGCTTGGGTGAGGTCGTAATACTTTATGGAGTGGTTCCCACTGAAGAGCAAAGTGTTCATGCAGAACATTTTTTAAAAACCTAGAGCTGAAAGTGTTTAATAACTTTTATAAGTCAGTGTGCTGTTTCCATTGGGGGCACTTTGATAGCCTATCTTTTTATAAGTGTATATTTGTAAAGGATATTCAGGCAATTTTTGAAAACACTACAAATGTGTAATCAACTAGCCATAAAATATTGAGTTATAGTTAACCAGCATATGGTACTAACATTGTAAATATGGTGCTATGGTTATATTTATACTGTTCAAGCTGGTGGACAACTCTCTAAACTGTGATTGAACTTTATTAATGGCTCTCTTGAAAGAATATTTCAGTGAGCCAATTGAGTCCATAACAGACATCCAGATATTAATGACACACAGGGTCTGCAGAGGGCAGCACTAGTAAAAGTTACCGTGGAACTTTCATAGTCCATTTTGCTCTAGTGTCATGATATTTATACTACAGTCAAATCTGAGCTCTGGAATCTATCATTTCCAATAATAGGAATGTCTGGCCACACAGAGCCTGAAGTTTCATACCTACCATATAGAAGATGAGTTATGAAGCTGTTTTAGAAGTGTGATTTTTTTTCTTTTTTGGAACATACCTGTTTCTAAATTAAATTATGAGATTTTTGTTCTACAAAAGAAATTAAATTAGTTCAACTATTAGTGAGGAAAAAGAAAAGAGAAGTAAGACATTTCAGATTTGTCCCTAAGGAAACTGACTGTTGTCCCTCCCTCCATGACATACCTCATCTGGTGTTCGAGGGGTATCCTTTAGGCTAGGAACTCCTTTCTTCCAGTGCTTAAGAGGAAAGTTGTCACCACACTCCTCTATTATAGGCCAGAGTAACATGCTGGGTTTTGTCAGCCTAAAATCTTACATGGCAGAGCAAAGCTTGGAGCTGTCTTTTATATCTCTTGCCTCTGCAGCCCTTGTGTGCAGATGTGTGTGGCAATATGGATTAACTGAATCAGTTACCATTCTTTTGGCTTTTACTCTAAGCTTGAATATACTATTGCTTTAACCTGTTGGTCTAAATAGGATCCACACATCTAAGAAGAGAGTCAGAAATGTATTATTGTGTTAAAAAGCAATTGTAAATATAAAATTTATTCAACTGTCCTGAAGTGTAGGAACTTATATGCAGACTGAGTTCATGGCAGCTTCATAGCAAGAAAAGGGATGATTTTCAAAATAATTGATTTTAATAATGACTACCAACTTGTTCTTAACTTACTTTCTAGAGGTTACTATAGTCAAAAGTACCACTGGATTCATGTCTTGGCAAAAAGCTTTCTCCATTCTCATTCTCCTTGAAGCATAATGCAGGGAAGAGTGATGTTACATTTTTCTAGATTTTTATTAGAAAGGGTCTCAACAAAAGTTCAGTAGTCTCTAACTGTGAAGTTGTTATAAATATAGATGCTCATGTCCTAGCCAAGAAATTCTGATGTATTATGTTTTGATGTGGACTACTGTGTGAATTACTAGAAAATTCTCTACTTGGTTCTCAGACACATAAAAGTTGGGAAATCAGTTGAATAAAATATCAATCAGCATGTGAAAAATCAGTTGCCTGTTTAAGTATATTATGGCTTATTGTCAGAAAAAAAATAGTTTCCATTTACCACTTCTGCATGTAATTAAAATCATAGTCAAAATAATAATTGCTTTTGAGCAGAAATTTTGTAGCCATTTTCTTATACAGCAATTAAACTAATAACTGAAAAAAGAGCAATATTCTCAAAACTTGACAGTTGAAGGATTTGACACACTGTATGTGACAGCTTTTTAAAAATGTTTTCAAGAGTGTTGATGACAAAACAAAGGCAATGTTGAACAAATATAGTAATTCATAAAGTAAATTTGGCAAAAGAAGGTAGAAGTTATTTCCTCCGTCAAGCTGTTGAGAGACAGGCAATGCTGGCAGAATCTTACCTGCTACCCAGAGTGAGATTATTTCACTGATATAATAACAAGGGCTGATTATTTTCTCATAACTATGTTTACAGTAAAGTAGATGCCAAATTGTGCTGCTTGTTTAAAAATTTTTTTTTAAAAAAAGCACTATTTGGAATTGTTGTAACGCAAGTATACAGCAGATGGCGATATTACTTCTCTTACAGTTTTGCTTTGACTGATTCTGTGCCATCCTTCCTCCTAGTGGAAGATATAGAAAGAAATGAAGGTTCTGATGAGAAACCCTATTTTGTGACTCCATCACTAATGAAGATCATGTTGGAGCAAGAGCCAAAATATTACAAGTAGAAGAGCACACTGGTCATCCTCCAGTGGTGTGTTACCTGTTTCTCATCTGCTGGGTCTGTGCAACAGTTATTTCCTAAGCACTTTGGGTTTGGCAACACTATGCGTGACCTTGTTGGCTTGCATTTTGCATGTTTTGTACCAAAGCTTACACTGTAATGTGAAGCCATCTGAAGTTACAAAGGAATTGTTAATAACATGGAACATTTTTATACTAAGATCTTTTGTTTTGTAATTCATTTTTAAATAGAGTGGCTTGGATGTTTTGAAAATACTACTTAGTATGTTTAATATTCTTTTAAATATTAAATTGAAAAAGGTATGTTATTTGAATTGATAGCTCCTACTATATTTTTTAAGAGTACAACTAAAAGATTACTTCTGCAGGGAAAATTGGTAAACAAAGTGAACATTTTTTAAAGCTTTCCCCACTCCTGTTTGACAATAAACCAATAAAAAAAAAGACTGGCCCACTCCAATCTTTGCTGTCTCTAAGTATAGAGTGTTTCCTGTTCAATAATTGCCAACCATCCAGCCTTTACTACTTTATCCAATGACAAAGTGCCTTATTGGCTGTTTAATACTACCCAGCTCTTGTGGGCAAGTTTACAAGCATTGTTTTAAAAAAATTAAAACCTGTGATGTTTAGTGATTATAAAACAAGTCTACTTGTGTTTGTTTTTCCTCTTGCTCACTGGCTGAAAACCATCAATCATTTCCCTGTTTGATATGCACACTATTAGATATTAGTGATATTCTCACTGTTGTGTGGCATGAGCATTTTCCTTGTGCCTCTGGCAAATGTGCACTTAGATGCAAACAAAACAACAACAAAGATCCTGAAATGACATGTGTGGGTTTCTTTTAAAAATGTAATCTTTTTTATAATAGTTCTTTAGAAGTAGAGTGGGAGTAAGACTGCATTTCTCAGTGTTTTACATATAGTAGCAAGGAAAACTTCTAGGAATTACAAAGGGAAACTTACCCCTGGGAGGTGCTCAGAGATCTGTCATGCACCGAACAGCGCCATTCACAAAGAGATGCTTATTTTCATCAGCCTGATCTCTGTATGTCATTCCATTTTCTAACTTTTTTATATAAAATAATGGGTTTACTAACAATGTTTACTTTTTATTGTGCCAATAGAAATGGGAACCATTTCTAATTGAGTTTTAAATCATTTTACTATTACTACTAATTTTAATTTCAATTTGATACTTTTGATTCAATTTGCTACTCAGTCTGTAATAGCATTCACCAGGAAAATGCCAATCACATAATAACTGGCAAAAGATCTGAGGATTGATCAACAGCAAGTTACTATCGCTTTATCAATTCTCACATTTGTTTAAACGTGACATTAGACGCTCTTATTAAAAAAAACTCAAGCAAGAGTATAATGTTTTAAAATCTATAATTAGTATGCTTCTGCTATGCAGAATTAATAGGAACAGATTGTACAGATATCTTTGATAACTAATATGTTTAATATTTAATAAAAGTTGCTGTCATTTTTTGTTTTAAAGTCTTTGTTTTGTTTTTTTCTTCCAATAAAGATTTAGATAAGAAATACTTGTCTGCCTTTTTATTTTATTTAAGCTAGGAAAAGAGAAAAGCTTTTGTATGTAATATCCATCATTCTACATTTGTTTTTACTTTTTTTTATTGTGAAAATACCGTACAGAGGGGTTACAATTACATGGGCAAGATAATGAGTACGTTCCTTATCAGGCTTTGTTGCCTCCTCCTTTGTCAACATTTGTTTTTAAATTTCATGTTTCTCTGACTATGCATTGGTCCATCAAATAGCTGAAATTGAAATGAAATACAAATAATTATGTTAAATGTTAAATGGACTTTAAAAAAAATCAAACAATTGCCTGAATTAGTTAATTGCTCCTAGTTTTAATTTGCCAGATGTCTGCTACTCCCTCACTTGGTTGTCCCAGCTTTCCTAAGGAGAAAATATCATTTTTAAGAAAAATTTAGAGAAATTAAAATGTGTGAATGATACCTGACTATAGATTTCCAAAACAGGATTGAACATATCTATCTCTGGTCTATCTTAAACTAGCAGAGCATCTTTTTCTTTTGTCTTAGGTTGAGTAGTTTAAACCTTAATTTTGCATTTAAGTTTAGTGGATTTCTTTCAAAGATGTAAACAACAAGCTTCTTTTTATTTTCTGTTTTCGTTTAAAATCCAGCACAAGGTTTGCTAATATAGGTAATGGCTATTTTCTTATTAGTGAAATAATATAGTTTGGTGTTTTTCAAAAGAAATCTAAATGCTTTTGATCCTAAAACTCCTACATTTTGCCAGGCACTAATGGTTCATGACTGTAATCCTAAGTACTAAGGAGGTTGAAATCTATGGATAATGATTTGAAGTCAGCTGGGACAGGGAAGTCTGTGAGACTTTTATGTCTAGTTAGCTAATCTAAAGCTGCAAGTGGAGATATAGCTTAAGGGGAAGAGTACCAGTCTTCAGCCAGGCCTTGAGTTCAAGCCCCAATACTGGCACCCACAAAAAAGTTCCTACTTTTAGACAATAAATCACTGATTTTAATAAATTTTAGGAAATTAGATTCTGACTGAATTGGTTTTTCTATGTGCTTAAGAGCTTAAAAAGTATATGCATAGCCATACAGTAAAATATCACTGTGAAAAGTTCTTTGTGATCACAAGCATAATGTGACTACTATTTAAGCTGATGCTGGAAGACAGATTCTGGGCAACAATTCCTTGTTTCCCTTTAGTGTATAGCTGAGCAGCACTATTCCAACGTATGCTCTTTCACTTTTACAAGTTGTACCTCAGGAAATTGCTCCTAAATTCTAACCGGGCATAGTAATTATCTGCAGTATTATCTAGTTCTGGATTGAGGAACATGCTTTATAAATCAGTCTTTCTTGGCATGAGAAAGGAGCACAAAATTGAACGAAAATCATTATTACAGACCATAGTGTATAAAATGGTACCTTAACATTTTTTCCAGTTTCTTGAAATATTGTCCAACAGATAGTTGTAAATGTATGTATTTTTAAAATATAACCTTAGGATTACAAGAACACAATATTACAAGTCATTAATGAAAATAAGTATCAATATAATAGATGCCCACTCCATTAAAAATCAACAGCTTTTTTGTTTTATATTTAATTATACAGGCCTAATAAATAGAGTTGCAATAAGCTTGTCATACTCAAAT